GCTATGGCACAAATTACCAGAGGGCACTAGGGCTTTGATAACCGACGAATTCCTTCGCCTTGGCATATCTTGGTAAATAACGCCCTTGAACCCGCCTTGCTCAATAATTACGAATTCTATCTAAATCCATTAATTAGTGTTGGGGGTTTCCAAATGCGGAATACTTACAGAACATTGGGAAGAGGGATTGAAAGGGGTTGCTCGTGGCTAATGACCCCGGTTACCTTTCAGCAGTGTTCCATGTTTGCATCATTGCTTTCAGAGAGGCAGGGTGAACCCAGGAAGTAAAAAAAACATGGTATGCCTATGCAGTACCTCCTCCATAACTGGTTGGTGCCTTAAACTATTTCCAAGAATGTAAATATATGTGAAATATATGTGAAAGTTTGGATCATCCCGTGAATATAAATAGTATGTTAAATATATGTGAAAGTTTGGATCGGATCATCCCGTCTTTCAAATCAGGAAAGACAGGAGATCACCGATCAAAATGATTGACCCCACCAGAAACAAAAGAAAGCAGGGCGATAAAGCACCAATCCAAACACGCATTTTGGGGTTACCCTGTGGTAATTTAACATAACTATGGAAATTCACCATTTATAGTGGATTTTCCCATGAAAAAATGTGATTTTCCATATAGTTATGTTAGTTTACCAGAGGGTAACACCGTTCCAAACTACCTGCCCGCAATGCATTGGGATGCAACAAGTGTGGCTACAACCACGTACCGATGCAAATGATGATTTTCTGTTCGTTGAACTAAAACAACCACACACAGTTTTCTCTTTTTTTTTGTGGTATGTGCATACAATCAACATACTGTGGATGGTTGCGAAATCCTGCACCAATTGGTAGATGGTTTATCCATGTTTATCCCATTATGCTTCCATATTTACAGCGTTTCATAGTTACAACTAGTTACCAACTGGTGCTTTCGCGATTTCGCAACCAAGTACATGACAACTAACGCACAGATTTCATACGGGTTCACCCCAGCTAGCTCCCTGGGATCTCCAGTTGCCTGAAGCTGTGCTGGAAAACAGCACCTTGGTGGTTTACCAAAGGACGGCGAACTGCGATTGCAAATGAAGTACTTGCATGTGCTTGGATGATCCTGGAACTCACTATTTCGGCTTCAAAAAATATCACCCAAACAAAAAGGTTTAATCACATTACAAAAAGGTTTAATAACATTACCATATATATATATATATATTATGGGTATGATTTTATAGATCTATAATATATTACCATATAGGTTCTCTATTATATATATATATATATTATATTCTGTATATGTTTATATGTTATTGGTTATTATGTATTAATGTTATTACAGTAAAAAAAACTTATATTCTGTATAAAAATACGTATCATGTTTATATGTTTGTTTCCATATATCATATATATATATATGTATAATTATATATATATACCATATATATATAAATACATATCACATTTATATGTTTGTTCATTGTATGATTTGAGTGACGGATCCACCATGAATTTCACCTCTCGCGCTGTTTCGGTTTCTGATCCATCGCGGGATGACCGGAACAAAAATCCGCAGAACACGTTGATGTCGCCGGAGTCGCCGGAGTCGAATGGTAATTTAATGGTGATTTAACCATCAACCATCAAATTAATAGGGGTTTTATGAGGTTTTAACTATGAAACATATGGATAATACATGATCATATCTGGCTGTTGGCTGATTTACCGATGGCAAATTCATCCAAAATCACTAGCCTCTGGTAATTTAACAGCAATAGAAATAGTTGATTTACCATGATTTACCATGATTTACCCACTAATTGAATGGAAATTGCGGTGCTGTAAGGGCCAGGGCCAAGTGGCCCACCTAGGCGTAGAGGGGTACCATGGTACCTTTATGGATCTAGTAAAATCTGGTACCAGCCATGGAAATGATAATCTGGTTGGTGGTTGACCTACCCCTCTGAAAAATGATGGAGTTCGTCAGTTGGGATGATGAGATTCCCAATATATGGAAAGTCATGAAATTCATATTCCGAACCACCAACCAGCATGGCGATTTAGTCTTAAACATGTACCCTCTTATTTAACATAGCCATGGTATGGATGGCCCATTTATAGATGTTAAACAAAAAATGATTTACTTATTAAACATGACAATTTTCCATGGCTATGTTAAATAACCAAAGGGATCCAAAGGGTAGTTCGAGGATTTTCCCATTTAAAATGCACCTCCATTTCCAGAGGATGTTCGATTACCCATATGATACCATTTTCATCCATTTTCCCAAGTTTACATTGAGCCAACTAAAAATGACAGCCACATTGCCACATCCGTAGCCCAAGTCTGTGATACTCCTGGAGCTTCCAACCATTTTAGCCGCACCTGGCTTTGCCCGCGGAGACTGTCCGAGAAAAAAAAACACATCCTTCGCATGGCGATGATCGACTAGAGCCTTGCAGTGGCGGCCAAGCTAGCAACCTTGCCAAGGTCAATGGACTGGGTATAGGAAAAATAACACCAACCAAAAGATAGAAAGGGTTCAATGTATCACTACATTAAGATATTTGCAACTTTGATCTTTTAGGGATTGCCATTCAATGCTATTTAGTCACCCAAATGTTGGGTTTTCTGGTCGACTTTCCCTTACTCCAATTCTTGGCCAAGGTATTTGCATGCGCTATTTATTTGCATTTCTTGACATGATACTACTCTATGGGGAAAGTTGCATCATTCCAAACTGAGAGCTACCCTCTGGTAATTTAACATAGCTATTGAAATTTGCCATAGAAATAGTTGATTTACCAATTTAAAAATGTGATTTTCCATAGTTATGTGGCTGTTTACCAGAGGCTACCCAAATCTGCCGAAATGTCTGCTGAATTTGCCCGACCCTTGAAGGTGACCATTGAATACCATCGCATGTCTGGCTCGTGCCAGCCACTTGCCATCGGAAGCGCTAAAAAACTACGAGGGTTCAGTAGGTTCAGTAGGTTCAGTAGGTTCAGTATCAGTCTTCTGCAGTGTCATGCATGATCACTTGAGATACATGAGACATCTTGAGACTCTTCCTTCAAATCATGGTCCAAGCATTTTCTTGTTGACTCCCGCACACTTGGGGATACAAGAGGACTGAACCCGGGTGAAACAACCCAAATATAATCCAAAACAAAACTCGTGTCTCTTGTACCCTGGCTCTTGTTTGGGTTTGTCCGACGTTCACCATTGCTTTCTCTGTCAAAAGAGTTTTTGGGGGTATACGATGGTATGTGTCCGATATACTGTCATTTGTGTGGACAAGCCGCCCAGAAATTAACCCAAAGATTGCAAAGACCACAGAGATCAGGGTGAAACAATCCTCGTGCTGAGAAGTTCTTGTTCTACCCAGCTCAGTTTCAAGGTGACAATCGAAACATTGGAATAGGCAATGACTTTGAAACATAGGAAAACTGATCCTGGTGCATCTTGAAGGTCTTGGTGATCATTGTGGGTGTTTACTTAAGGTACTACGATTTTTCCTCACATTAGCACGTAGCTCATAAGTATACATTTATATTGTGGAACATGTTGAATTATTCAAACAAGAGCAACATAAACAAATCTCCACAACAATGTCTAGTCTAAGACAAACATATCAGCGGTGGCAATCTCATGACATATATCTGTGAAAAATTGAATAACTGCCAAGAAAAAAAAACCAATTGGGGGTTGTGAATGTTTGTGGTGGTTTCCATCGTTTATAAATAGTTTCAGGTCGCAGCATCAGTGATCGAATAGTCTCCTTCCACCAAATCCACCCATTGAAAACTGCGGCAATACGGCCGCCCAGGGTGGTCTCGGATGTCATCGGATTTCCGTACTTTTCGGAGTCTTTTCGGCACGACTCTCGTCCCAAAGTGAATATCATTTGGAAGAAGATTGCACTTTTTTCAAAAACACATACTGCATCTTTTTCCTTCATAATTTGTAGCGGTATTGCTTGTTGAAGAAACATTGTACTTTCTCAAAGGAAAAATATAACTTAATAAAATTGATATAACATAATATTGATAGGTAATTTAAATACATAATATTATATATATTGATATTGCATTTTAGAACAGGAATGCGCTATGTTAAACTCATGCTGCATATTATAGAAACATGTTTTCCCTTCAAGGGAAGGATGTACTTCTTTAAGGACACCCTGCATCTTTTAGAAAAAAAACAGGATATTTTGCACGGGATGGTGAAGTGGAAGGCTTCATGCAACTATTTCAAGGATATTGAGGTGCAAATACGGTTCAATATTATTCAATATTGTTATTCCATCTTATTCCTGAATTGTGTATACTTACATCTATGACCCTTTGCCATATGACTCTGGTGTATTGACTTAATTGCATTCAATAAGTATAAACATGATGTGGCATGGGAATTGCATGGAACTATACAAATAATATGTCCGGATAAAACCTAACCTTATTGATTTATGGAAATTTTGAGCACATAGTTGGGTGAAAAGTATGTGTTTAAAAGATCTTAAAAGTGGATTAATTGCATTTAGGAATTGCAAAACAAAATTTCAATTTTCTGCCGCTCACAACAATCACCTGCCATCTTTTTCCACACTATTAACCCAAGGAATATCCAAGGAACTTCCACGAACTGACTTCAACACTGAAGAAAATTTCCACAGATCATTGGGTTGGTTACGGTTGGTTCAAGGGAATATTCAATGGAAATTTCAGGATCCTAAAATGGAGGTACTGTACCATATAAGGCCTTATTTTGTAGGGATATTCCCTTACATAGGCCTGAATTTTGGGCCTTATATATGGTAGGTACCTCCGATTTAGGATCATTAGGATCCTTGAATTCCCATTGATAAGGTGGGCCCTGCCAGTTCTATTTGTTGGTGATTGTTGGTGTATAAATCCTTTTAGAATTCAAAATATCCCCATAGTTGCCATAGTTAACCGACAATGTCGCCAATTTCCCCCGATTGAGGCTAAAGATGAAGGAATCAGCCGCAACAAAATCTCTCAGCCTGGGATCATGCCGAAAAACTCCCGGGGATGACCCCAGTGAAACTGTCGATCAACGGCGAGGTCCTGGTTGGATTCCAGGTTGGATTCGGCGTGGGGGCAATCAAGTACACCAATCAAAAACTATGAACGATGTAGAATGATTGGTGTAATAATAATAAAATAAAAATAATAAATAAATATATATATATACAATAGATGATATGTATATTCTACATCTAACTATCATGTCCAACTGAGTATATACCTATACATAATTATATATATATTGGCAAGTGTCCAATGGAACATGTAGAATATTAAGTGAAGAGTATCTATTGCATCGAGTTCACCCGTTCTGGTCATCCTTGAGGTCAGGCAGTGGGAAATTCCGCCGGCTGAAAATTTAAGGTGAAACCACCAACGTTGCTGAAAGCAATCACAAGAAAACACAAGGGCCAACACAAGAGGTTCCATGATTTCGATTGATATTGATAATCTGATATTCTTCGATATCTGGCTGGTGGTTGAGCCCAACCCCTCTGAAAAATGATGGAGTGAAAGTCAATTGGGATGATTATTCTATTCCCAACTGAATGGAAAGTCATAAAATTCCATGGTTCCAAACCACCAACCAGATATTCATTGATATTAAGGTTGATATTGGACATTGCCTTTCTATCAGATTCTATTGATTTGGATGATCGAAGCCATTGAAGCATGGTTTATCTTTGGTCAATTCCCCAGGACCTGGGGACCTCAACATAGCACGAAATGGCAGTCGTATCCCATGGTAAAAATCGTCATTTTACCAAAAAAAACAGGCCATTTTATAGGCACCTCCCATTTTCATACACACCCGAATCCATGTTACCCTCTGGTAATCAAACATGACATGAGAATCACTGGCAAAAATCCCTCAGTTCTGTGTTGTTTGCACTAAAACCTCCTAAAATGGGGGTTTCCTAAGTCATGGGGGTACCCCTGTTCATCGTCCATTTTAGATTGGGATTTTCCATTACAAGGTGGTGCCCCCCCCAGTTATAAGTTGGATTAAAATCCCCATAAACTATAGATATAACCCCCTAATCACCCCTAGTTATTGGACTTATGTTCACCAACTTAGCTAACGAACTGGGGCACCACCTTGTAAGAACAACGTCTGATTTACCACTGGAAAGTCCACCATTTCCCAGATGATTTTCCCATTTTAGGATCCTGAAGATCTCCCATTTCCCATCTATAAACGATCCAGCGATAAAGGGGTGCCACCATTTATGGAAAGCTCCAGCTATCCCGATCCGCCTTCCCGCTTCACTCGCTTCACTCGTCCCAAGAAGGCCTTGGAATGAGACAAAATAAAAGGCCTTCCGAAGGAAAAAAAACACATCTTTATTGGGCATAGTCTTGCCAAGAACAGAGGGTGGTTTATGGAAATGTCTATGATTTTATGGATGATCAATGGGTTTTGAGGGGGTCCGAATCTTAAACAGCCTCCAAAAACCATGATTTAGGGAGTTGTAGATTATTTGGGACCATAGAATGGGGCTGTTTAATGCTAGGGAGATGGGATTAGCCAGTACAAAGTTGGACAACATTTTTTGTGACCTTTTGTTGATGCCAGACTTGGCTTAAAGGGAAACTTCTTTACAGGAAAGCACGGAACAACACCACATGTTTCATATATGTACATATGTATATATATATATATATACATTTATGTGTGCATATATATATATAAATAGCATATATATATATAAACATACTGTGAGAGGATCACGACCCCACACTGATAGCAACTTCCAACCTCCAAGCGGCTTCCCAAAAGCGCACGGCGCCTTTTCCCCTTCAAGGCACCAAGTTGTTGATTGCACCAACTGGAGTATCTACTCCAGAGCTCAGGACGAAAGGTCGGCAGGACCAAATGGGGGTGTTGGCAAACACCAGGCACAAAAGGATGGCCCCAGGCCAGCAAAGTACTTTATGAGCGGCCGCGCTCAAATCAAGACTATGGCTTCCACAAGCACTAGGTAAATACCCACCCACCACGGTTCCTCTATGGCCCTCCTGAGCCTCCAGTGCTACAGCAACATGAAGCGTTGACACCCCCTGGGCTTTTGGTTCTTGGTGGTACTGGACATGTGCAATGATGTTGAATCACACTCCCAAAAAACCAAAGTTTTCTAAGAAACACACATCATTGCACCTGGAGCCATGAGGGTCGGTCTGTTCACCCTTCAGCCATTTCAGACGGTTGCGCGACGATGCACGATTCTTGAGGACCTCTAGTTCGTCATGAAGCCTGTATTGACCAATTTTCAAAGTTTCCCTAAGAAACGCATTTTCCATCACCTTAGTCAGTGCATCGGCCAACTGTGCTCCTGAGTGGACCCACCGAAGTGATACCCCTTCATCTAGCATGTCCTTTATTGATCGTGCTGTCAGCTGCGTTCGGAACTCTGCACAGTTCGGAACAGCCGTACGGGTGACCAAGTCGTACAGTGATTTGCAGTCCGTTGCTGCAAAGCTCCCTGGGAGATCCTGTGCTTGTATAGTAGCGGTTGTATATGTTTCAGGAAGGTTTTGAAAGGCAAGTTTTGGATTTTTCCATGGTACCTTTGGATCTTGGATCCATGCCCAACATAGTCTTACCCAGGAAAGGTGGTCTAACACTGAGTTCAACGAAGTTGTTTCAGCTGCCAGGGTGCTTGTTACAACACGCTGGATTTTCTTACATCCCCATGACATTGGATTCACTGGACATGTCGTGTTTTTCCCAATATCTTTATGGGTCGCCATTATAAGGGTACCAGTATGAGAACTTGGGTTACTCTTTGAGGCGAATGATGCATCTGAAAAGGCAAGGAATCGCAGCATCTCAATTGGTATTGGTTGTATTTTGATGGTAACATCATGATGCTTTTTGGCTTCATGTAACGCTTGATTGGCAGTTGTAAGGGTTTCCACAGTAGCTTGATTGATGGAAGATTGGAGCATGCTCAAACGACTCGAAAGATCCGGCCTTGTATGGACTGCTGCATACTGAAGACTACCCATGAGTGCTCTCAGTTGTTGTCGTTCCTCTTCAGTTACAGATTGGTCAATCTGTTTCCTTCTCTCCTGGTTGATTTTGATGGGTTCAATTGCTCTGATGTATTTGGACTGAGATAGGTGAATAGTGCCATCTGGTGTTTGTTGCATGTCGATTCCAGTGAAAGTAAATTGACCAATTCGTTTTGTACCAAAAGGATATTTCTTTTCCAACATGTTTAGAGTGTCTTGAAATCGTTGATTTCCCGCACACAAACCATCGTCAACATGGAGGCCAAGAATGCCATCAGGTTGAAGCGTTCGGGGATCTCTCAGTATGAACAGACAGGGGTCAAACGGTGACTGTTCGAAGCCTAGTCGCAGCAATTCTTCTAGTATCGCTTGAAACCACATAAATGGCGCATCTACCAGGCCATAGGCTCCCTTTTCCAACTTACAGATTTCTTGAGGGGATAAGTTCATCATTTTGACAATTTCGGCAAATGGTTCTATTGCAAGTACTCGATCCTTTTGATTCTTTCCTTGGAGAAACGCTGCCTTGATATCAAATGATTTCAAATCCCAACCCTTCGAGGCTATGAGTTGGAGGAGTAACATTTTTGAATGTCTTCCCAACGTCGGTGAGTCCCTTGGAACTTCGGCTATCTTGGGGTCAAGATATCCCAGAATGACAAGTCTTGCTTTTGCCTTGAAACCCTTCGTGCCTTTGAGTTGTTCCCTTTCTTGTTGATCTATTGGTTTCCACGTTAAGATCCATCGACATCTTAAGATTTGATCTGGTGGTAACTGGTCTCTCATAATTTTGGATATGGTGCCAGTTTTCAACCAGTTTTGAATCTCATGATCCTTGGCTTTCTGGAACTCTAGCTTTTCGATGGGACTCAGCGTGGCCAGCTTCACTTCGGCACGTTGGCGTTTTGCGGCAGTGGCCAGGAAGCCACATTCGTCAGGACACGTTTCGTGTCTCCAGCCTTCAATGTCACTCTCGGTAACGTAGAAGGAGCATTGCCATGCCTGATCATCAGTCATGGCCACAGATTCCGGTTCTTCATCCATGCAGTGGAGGCCCTCACAAACAAGATCTTCATCATCGGTTTCGTTTGGCATTGGTGTATTCTGTGCTTCACGTTCTCTCATCATGTCTTGCTCCGGATTGAGCCTGGGTGTTATTGTGGAAGGATTATTTGGATTTATTGATGGTGATTCCTCGTGGTTTTCACTTGGTGTGTGTACACTTCCGGGTGCTCCTGGTTCTGCATCCGGTTGAATTTCTGAGGTGGCATCAGGTTCTGGATGGTTGTTTGGATTATTTTGAGGTGTTATTGGATTATTGGACATGGTGGGTGGTGGAAGTGTAACATCAGTGTTGGGATTATGAGCATTCTGGTGTAGTTGAGGGTTATTCAAGTGGACTGGTAGTTGATTGGCAATTATTGACGTGGAAGGTTCATTCGGGAGTATGACAATTTCCTTAGCCTCCATTGCCGACACCGGCCGGACATGTTCTGGTGCTGCACGATACAGCTTTGCTGCCATTGTGGTCCACACGGTCTGAGCATTCTCGTGGACAACGACTCGCATTGGGCCTGTCCACTGATCAGCATAGGCTCCTCTTCCCTGACGCCACACCATGACCCACTCTCCAGGTTGATATTTCTGAGGCTTCCCCTGTGACTTACGCAGGATTGATCTACGGAGTGCTTGGTCATGATCGGTCTGGACAAAGGCTTTTCTGGCGCTTTCTCTACGTGACAACTGGAGTCGGAATTGGATCCCTTGAGCGGATTCCGAGTCTGCTAGCATGTGGGCAGGCAGTAGCTCATCACTGCACACGGATCCCGGCAGCCTAGTCTGTTTTCCTAGGACTAACACCTCGGGGGAATACCCCTTCCGGATACTGTATGCATTTTTGGCTTGTGTGCACCACCAAAGGCCCTGTTTGAGGTCATGGTAGTTGTGGATGGCATGTTCCTTTTCATATCTGTTCAGCATGTTCTGGAGTATGGATCCATGTCTTTCGGCTTTCCCATTTTGAAAGTGCGCCTCAGTGCTGATGGTCACCATGTGTATGTTGTGGGCCTGTGCAAACCTAGCTATCTCCTCAGAGTTGAGCTCTGTTCCTGCGTCCACGATGACTTCGTGCGGGGTGCCGGCCCACATCAGCCAGGACTGTACAAAGCACTCTAGGAAAGCTTCTGCACTGCGAGATGGTGCTACACAGGCTACCTGGAAACTGGTTGCACTATCCACAAAATGGTAAACATGAAAGTTTTTCCCCTGAGCATTAGTCCATGTAAGCCCGTCAATGTGAAGGCGATCATTGAAGTCCAGTTCATCTCTCAGACTTCCAGGTGACCCTGATTTAGGTGCTTGCTGGGATTGGCACACGGAACACTTAAGTTCCAGCGCGGCTCTGGCCACCTCTGGTCGGAAACCCTGCTGTCTGATGATGCTACTAAACTTCTCGGCATGCGGATGACCAAGGTTCTTGTGAGCACGGATTAACGCTTGTTGTTCCTCTTTGGTGATACTCTTGAAGTGCTCGGTCTGCCTAGTGGATTCTAGATCCGCCTTCTGAGACTCGGTCATGGGCATTTCAGGATTGAAACTTGGTTGGCTCTGACTGGAAGATTTCTTCGCGTCTTCCGGTCTTGGGGAAACCACCGTATCCTCTGACGGTGAATTGGGTGCAGTCTGCTCGAGAGATTCTGGCCGAGATTCTCCCGCAGATCGAGGTACTTCGGGATTGCAGGCAAAAACTGTCATATTCAGTCGACACGGATGTGAGGACCTTATGAGTTGGCGGTTTGAAAGTTCTTCCCACTCCTCCCAGGATTCATCAGCACGAATTTTTCCTGAGGTCCTTTCAGTGAAAATGCAGCGACGATAGGGGGCTTCTCCCTTCATGAGTGTCTTCGGTGGGCCTATCGTCCTATTGGTTCCCCTGCATATGATTATCTTACTGATGATCTTATCCCCAATCAAATTTTGAATCATGGAGATGAGCTGTGGGTTAGCGACTTCCAGCTTGCCTACCCTCGGTGCCAAATTCTGCAACTCCTGAAACACAGATTGCCATTGTGACATTGCATCGATGGGAGAGGTTTTGTGGGACAGCTTGCACCTTTTACCCCATGGGAGTTGCTCAACATCTCGTGCACGACTTACCTTCAGTTTGGCCTGAGGACTCATGCGAATGCGTTTTGGCACTCGCTCCCCATGATCGGATCCATGGGCCAGAGTCCAAGACCATAGGCACTGTTCCACCTCATGGAGGTAGGGTTTTTCACGTGGCACTCGCAGCTTGCAGAGGCTTTTGGCAAGCCGACGGGCAAACTTCCGGGGGTAATTCTCGGTGAAAGTAGATCGTAACATATTGTTACCATCAACACTGCATGTCCCCTGTATCTGTTGGTGCTGATGTTGTCCTCTACATTTGAGTCCCTCAAGATCACGATACATACTCTGGGAGGAAGTCATGATGGTTAGAGACTTACGCAAGTGCATTTGTGACTGGGGATCTCTCAGGTCTCCTGCCGTGCAAAGGTCTATCTCCAGAGCCAACAATTTCTGTCGAATCTCCTGCAAGTACGGAAGGCGAAACATATGGGATGTCCTTGGCTGTTCCCAGTGAAAATGTTTCTCTTGTGATCTTTGATATCTCATCAACACAATTCCCAAAGCAATTTGGTCCATATGCTGTAATCTACTTTGTTGTAGGGCATCCCAAGACTCTACCGACCTACTCCCATTCAAGTTGGACCAGCTACTCCATGGGCCGCACTTTGGACTAAACCACACATGTTTGGGCCTATGGGTTTTGAGGATTTGAAACAACTGCTGGCGTCCCTCAACTGTCTGCAAGTCACCCTCGGCCAGGCCAAAACGAATGGCTCGATGGCCCATTTGGCGGCACTGTGCTGTCAGCTGGCTTTGGGGTCCGCAAAAGACTTCTAACACATCAACAGCAGGTTGAATCTTACTTGAAATGGTATGAGTGGATTCCAGTTCTTGGGTTACTTGATTCAGCAGTCTGTTGAACATTCTGCGTTCCACATTCGTTTCAGGGGCAATGTTTTGATCATATGGGTCCATGGCATCGGGATCCCCAGCCAGTAGTGTCTGAGCCCAGCTTGGACATTCTTCTACTGTTGCTCGGACCCTTGCTGGAGGTTCTCCAGCAAGTTCACGATCTGAGACAGGGTTGTCTCCACGTGCTGCATGCGGTGTTCCAGCTGGATCACCTCTTGCTGATTGCCCTCTGTGCCAATGGCACTCAGTCCCATCTCGATCTCGTCCGGATAGAGCTCGAATTCCTCCTCGGCTGCATCCCACACTGCCACTTGTTCGGCTGGTGGTGCCGTTGTCTTCTTCTTGGGCATGGTCTTGGCCTTGGTGGTCAGTTGGGTGACCGTTGACGTCCCTCCTGAACACACCGGCACTGTGGTGCCCTCCAGTTCTGCCTTCTCGACCTTGATCTGGACGTAGTGGAGGAACTTCTGGTGGCTCTTCTTGCCGGACTTTTCGTAGCGATTCGTAAACCACGCCACCCAGTCTTGGTGACTTTGCCACATCTCCTGGTACTTCTTCCCCACGTGGGATTGTCCAAAGTCTATCTGGGTCTCTTCCAGCTGCTGCAAGCTCAGATGGCTGAAGTCGTGCTGGGTCGGCTCCACTGCCGTCTGTAGCTGCTTCAGGCGTTGGCTTAGGCTGGACATGCCTACGGCTCTTGGGGAAACGAAAGCTTCGGGCAAACGTGGTGGCTTTTGAGCTACGATGATCTGTCGGATGCATCATTTCCTGCTCAGGATCGGATGCTTGAGAATTTCCATCACTGATGGTTGTCGGCAAATCAAACTGCACATGACGGTTGGTCTTGGTTTCGCAATGGACATTGTGTGTGTCATCATGTTGTTCCTTGTCATGTGAAAGGTGTTGGTGTGTTGCGGTATCATGTGGATTGGTGTGTGATGGAAACTTTGGCACTGGCTCTGTACACAGTTGGACTGGCTTTGTTTTGGTCTCTTCGGACACCTGATGCGTCTCAGCGGCATGCTTGGATACGGTCGTATCCACTAGATCATTCAAGTCCAAAAGAACTAGCCCTTTCTCTGTGAGCTGAATGGGGATTGTTTTGCCAAACTTCGCAGCAAAGATGGTTTTCTTACTGGTGTCGATGACTGCCCCAATTGCTCTCAGAAGGGTATTTGACAAAAGGAATGGGGTTGACCCTGGCACTACTGCTATCTTCAACAAAAGACCATGTATAGGGACTACCAAGGCTTGTTCACTTTGAAGGGTTCCCTGATTGCCGAACCGAAAAGTGATCTTGCAAGGACATCTCTGTACTGACTTTCGTGCTTCAGGGGACAGACCATCTAGTAGATCCTTGACCAAATTACTGCCTATCACCGTTTTGGTAGCACCTAGGTCAACAACTCCCATACAACTATAGGTTGCAAACATGGCTAATTGTTCTCCAGCCGGAGACATCTCAGCTTGGCATGATGGCGGGAGCTGCATGGTTGCATTGGCAGGTGCTGGCATAGGTCTCGTCAATCTCTGATCTTCATGGGTCCTGGGCACTGCGACGTATGGCTGTCTATAGTGCCATTGTTTGAGAGTTTCTGACAAACGGCTTTTCGTATCAGTGATATCTAACCTTTGAGGTGAACACACAAAACACTGGCTAACCCATGATGAAGGGACATCTATGGTGCTCTCGACGGCCGGTAGATTCAGAAACTCGAGAGGGAGACCATCATCTCCACCCTGGCTATGCACGAAGGAGGTCGGTGCCTGAGGTCTGGAGGCACCTGTGGCATCGTTCCTGGACGGGCACTCTGCTTTCCAGTGGCCAACCTTTCCGCACAAACGGCAGTTGGAACTGAGGATCCTCTGTTGCAAGGATCTCCTGCTTGAGCTATGACCCTTTTGGAACTTCCCCTTTACCCCACGGTTATATCCCTTGGATTTACCCTTAGAAGATTGGGGAATTGGCCAAAACCCTCGTGACTTGACCTTTTCACTCAATCGCCTACGTGCTTCCGTGTAAGCGTTCAAGGCACTTGCCAGCTCTTCATCTCCTTGGAGAACATCAGTAGCTGCTGCCTCGAAGTCAGCGATGAGGATGGCATCGGTGTCGCCCTCTTGGATCAAGGCGTCCATCAGATCATCTTCATTGATATCTTCCGGTGCTTCTGCCAACAGAGTGTTGGAAGGATCATCTTCCTCTTCCAGTTGGTCAGCTACCATGGTGGTGGCATCATAGGTTTTCAACTTCCCTGACTTTCTGCCTGCTGTGATTTCTTGGAAGAAGCCGGCTCCCAACATTCTGATTGCAGCTGAAACTCGAGGAAGGGTCAATCTTCCATCGGTGCTTACCTGACTGTCCACCACGACTCGTTTCTTGTCTTCTGAGGACAGGTTCGAACCACGTAAGGTGATGTATGCCTGCAGTTCTTCCAGTTTCACCTCTTTGTTCAGCAATTCCTGCCAAAGGACATCAGCTCTCGCAAGAAAGCTGTCGTTGGTTTCATCCTGTCGTTGTGTGCAACGAAAGAGTGCTCTCTCCGCTGCCTCATACTTTTTCTCCAGTGGAATCTGGCCCCATTGGCCACCGAGTATCTCAATGATCTGCTGTATGGATTTCTTGTCATTCTGAGTGATGTCTGCGCTCTTCAACTGCAGTTTTTGGAACGCAGATCCTGAACATCCCAAAATCAGTCTTGTTGCCAGTTCGGTCCATTTTCCATCAGGCCACATGTTCATGAGAAGTTGCACCTTCTCGGTGTAGTCAGTGAGGTCATCTTTGGCTGGGTCGAAGGTTGGTACAAGGCTCGCTAACTGATTGGGCACAAGGTTCGTCCCGGAAGCTCCATCAGAAGCTTCTGACATCTCTCCCTGGATACTCAGCTATATGGAGCGAAGCTGAGCTCCGCTACCAGTGTGAGAGGATCACGACCCCACACTGATAGCAACTTCCAACCTCCAAGCGGCTTCCCAAAAGCGCACGGCGCCTTTTCCCCTTCAAGGCACCAAGTTGTTGATTGCACCAACTGGAGTATCTACTCCAGAGCTCAGGACGAAAGGTCGGCAGGACCAAATGGGGGTGTTGGCAAACACCAGGCACAAAAGGATGGCCCCAGGCCAGCAAAGTACTTTATGAGCGGCCGCGCTCAAATCAAGACTATGGCTTCCACAAGCACTAGGTAAATACCCACCCACCACGGTTCCTCTATGGCCCTCCTGAGCCTCCAGTGCTACAGCAACATGAAGCGTTGACACCCCCTGGGCTTTTGGTTCTTGGTGGTACTGGACATGTGCAATGATGTTGAATCACAACATACATACATATATATATATATATAATACATATACATATGTTTGATGATTTCCTGCACATGTTCATACATGAGATCAAGCCTTTCAACCCAGATGGCATCCAAGAAACAATGAACCGTGCTCGGCCACATAGCTTTTGCCCGTCTGATGTCCTCGATTACCCACCTGATCGGTGATTTTGCAGAGCTCTGTGGAACATGGCCATAGTTGGATGATGTTACCCTCTGCTTACCATAGGTTCAATGGGATTTAATGAGATTTAATGGTGTTTTAATGGGATTTAATGGAAGTGTCTGGTGATTTCCCCTCTGGTTAACTAACAGTTTGCTATTGAAAATTGCCATAGAAATAGTTGGTAAACATACAAACAGCGACATAGAAAATGGCCATAGAAATAGTGAGTTTTCCCATTAAAAATTGCGATTTTCCATAGCAAACTGTTTGTTTACCAAAGGGTATGGCATGTTGATATTATGAGAATAGATGAAAATCATGAAAATTGCCATATCTATAGATGATGCTTGTTGATCGACCCATTAAAAGTATCAAAAATGGTGATTGTCCATAGCTGATGCCACTCCTTCATCAAAACCACCCCAGAGTATGGCCCGATGGTAAGCTTAGTGAAGCACATGTACGGTGGGGGTTTTGAGGGACTTTCAACACATCTCTGGGCTGCGGGGCTAATCATACCCACATTGGCTCAGAAAAAATAACAACTTGAAAATTATACCAGAAAAGAAATTCAACAGTAACACCTGAACTTCTATAGTTGTTGCTTCACCCGTTAAAACCCATTTTCAATGGTTTTAAATCCATTTCAACCGCATAGTTCATCCTTTTTTATGGTGAACGCTCCCATTTTCCAGCACGCTTCATGTGTTTCATGGCTCGCCTGCACCCAATCGCGGCCGCCGTTGGTCTTCACCACTGCCCACTGATCTTCACCCGCAAACAAGACCCCTTGATGCTCCAGCAGCGTACGGGCCTCGCCAAATCCTACGGGCGATTTCACCTTAAAAATCATCGAACTGTTGATTTTCTGTACATGATTTTACCCTCTGGTAAACTTACAAAAATCTATGGAAAATCACCATTTTTAATGGGTAAATCCACTATTTCTATGGTCATTTTCAATAGCTATGTTAAATTACCAGAGGGTATTATTCTGTGCATGATTTTTTTGATTTTCGTCATGAGCGCTGGCGCGACTTACGGGAATACTACTGTGGATGGAAGAAATCCTGCATCACCTTGGATGGTTGAAACCCTATAAACGATGGGATAAACCACCTATCAACTGGGGCAGGATTTCTTCCATCCACAGTATTTTGTATAAATGTTACCATAGATGGACCTAAATGGAGGTTTTACATAGATTGTTTCAGTGTTTTAGGGTAACAGCCTGGGTAATATTTTTGCGACCAAACTATGGCTGGGGGATTCTAAATTGCCACGTTACCGGAGGGTGAAAACCTAGACCCTCCAGTTCTTGTTTGTACTCATTACATGGGTAATCATTCCGTATTAAAGTGCAAGTTACCATACGTTCAATGGCAATTTCAGCATCCTAAAATAGAGGTACTGTACCATATATAAGGCCATATTTTGTGGGGATATCCCTTCCATAGGCCTTATATATGGTAGGTACCTCCAATAAATTGGTTCCTGAGTCATGGCCATTGATAAGTTACCACTATTTGGATTGATCATGGTGATTTCATGCCCAAAATGGTCAACTTGGCGAATTGCTCATTTCGAATCTGGGGATGATCCCCCCTATAATTTCCGCCATCATGACTTGTCATTTGGAGCTGTCCCAAGTCATTTTAAGACACCCCCAAGTTGGGTAATTGACTGAGGACCCCAAGAAAGCCCCAAGGGTGGATATCACCCTACAAGGCGGTGCCGCAGTTATCTTTGGTGAAACCCAGTTGACGTTTATCTACCCAACCCAACTGATTAGTTATCATGATCATCAACTACATCAATTTATACCAACTATGAAAAACCTACATCAAGTCACACACACATATATATATATATATATATGTGAACAGATATATGTATATCGACTATAAACTTGAGGCCGGGGGTGGATGACGAAAGCTAGCGGGGTAGGAGAAAGAAGGAAGGGAAGAGGTGAGTTGCGGAGGGACTGTCATCATCGTGTCGCGGCATTGTTCGTCCCAACGACGATGCAACAATAATATATTGATATATGATATATAACAATGATATATATGGGGGAGGGGGCAGGGGGGGGCCCTTTCGCGGGAAAAATCACGTGATGTCCTTGGGGAGCCCCGGAATACGTGCTAAAGCAAGAAGACTCTAGCGAGCTGACGCTAGCTTTCGTGATAATGACAATAATTGCCAATAATGATAAAATGTAATTGAATAACGATGATGATGATGATGATGATGATGGATGATGGATGATGAATGATGAATGATGAATGATGAATGATGAATGATGAATGATGAATGATGAATGATGATGACGATGATGATGATGATGATGATGACGATGACGATGATGATGATGATGACGAGGATGATGATGATGACGATGATGATGACGATGACGATGACGATGACGATGACGAGGACGATGACAAGGATGACGATGATGATCATGATGATGATGATGATGATGATGATGACGATGACGAGGACGATGGAGAGGACGATGACGATGATGATGACGATGATGATGATGGTGATGGTGATGGTGGTGATGGTGGTGATGGTGGTGGTGGTGGGGGAGGGGGGGGAGGGCCTTTCGCGTGAAAAATCACGTGATGTCCTTGAGCAGCCCCCCCAATACTTGCTAAAGCAAGAAGACTCCAGCTAGCTGACGCTAGCTTTCGTGAAAAACACACATGTTTTCTTAAGCTTAATTTTTACATGGTGGTTTCTTAAGTCATTTTTGGGATCCCCAGTCGTCACATGTCGTCATGGTCCGACTTGCCTCATCCAAGGTCAACAACTCTCCGTCCTTTTTCCTCGGAGAATCCCGGAAGATTCGCCCGGAGAATCTCTGTGTATCGTTGATGGGGAGAAAAAACCATACACAATGTGTGATTAGAAAAACAATATGCATAGTGCGTATAATATATATATATATATAATATATAACATATATAAAATAGAACATATAAATATAATATAACATACATATATATATATATTAATATATATATATAGAATCATATGCATGCCTATAAACATATGCATGATACGATATGGCATGATCTGATAATATGATGTGATATGAGTTAAAAAAGAAAACACTTACTAACTGAAATACGCTCCAAAACAAAGCCCGGCAAAGATCCGAAACAACTTTGCTGAAAAGCAACAATTAATTCAACCCACTGAAGTTTTTGTTCGGATTTATCCTGGGCCTACCACAACAATTAAGATGTGGAAAAGCCATGGGAACACCCCTGGGAACATGATCAACGCATTCAGATACTGTAGTTGGTTTTTAAAGGAGGGTGTGAGCAGCAACAAAACTCGGCAAAACTGGTGATTTCATGATGATCATGAAAACATATTAAATCGAAAAATGGGAATATTTATACTCATCTATATAATAACATTATATATATATATAAATAAATATAAATATATAGACTTAGCCGACTTAGCCTCCTGTAAACATACACTTGAAATCACTAGTGACAACTCCAAACGCATTTCCTCGACGTTCCCAGCTGGATCCCGCTGAAACTCACCGCACTTTCAGGGTGCTACCCTGCAAGTGGGTGAAGTATGGTGAAGTCTTGGATTTATAGCAGCTATAATCATCTACAATCCCATGACGGATCCATGGTGCTGGTAGAAAAATGCTAACATGACTGGGGTATATTATGGTATATATATTGATGGGATCCATGTTAGCACATATACCAGCACCATGGATCCGTCATGGGAGTATATCTACAGAGTATCTACACGTATCTACAGTATCTACAGCTGGCGTCTATAAATCGCCGCACCACCGAGGGGCCACCTTTTTGGTGCAACTATAGATGTGTTATGAAACTGGCGTGGTGACCATGTCTGGCAGTTCACCCAGTTCACCCCCGAAGAGCTGGATTTCAAAACCATCAAGTGCCAAGAAAACAACACCATACCCGACCCCAGGCATCCTAAACATGATGTTATCCCATTTGGGATACCGAATTTTTCGGCTTAAGGTGATATAACATCAATTTGTTGCTTATACCATCCGGTAATCAAAGTGACAATGGTACATGCCCCATTTAGTTCGAGGATTTTCCCATTAGACTCTCCATTTATAGGGAATTCTCCAGACAGCCTCGTTTGATTACGGTAGGGTAGAGGTTATATTGCCTTATGTTATATCACTGATTGGTGATTTCCCTTCCCTGAGCAAATGTCAAGCCATTGAGGGTCATCCCATTTCTATGGTTGAACATCAACAATATTTGACACCAACCAGAAGTCACTGGTCATACCTCACTATATCCCCATTGTAGATGTTTCAATGTTGTGTTGGTTTAAATTCAATGAAACATCATATGGCTATGGATCAAAACCTATAAATAACATTTTTAGGGGGATGAACATCAATAAATCCCAGCTATTTTGATGTGAACAGAAGGGGTTTATCCGGTTTTGACCCATCCTCATATGACCTCCCAACCATGGGAAAAACAACTCATCCAATACCAAGTTATCTTCGCCAAAGGCACCCGGCAAAGTCTTCGGAGGATTCCAAGGTTAAGCCGGGAGCGGCTTTGCCCCAACGCATCTCTGTCCTGCTCAGTGGTACAAACGGCAGTGCCCCAAAGGAATGGGCCTACAGTACGGCCCCCCCAGTCGATCACGTGAACTGTTGCCTGAACAAAGTGGCTTAACTAACTATGGTCTATGGTAGATGTAACGAACTAAGATAGCGTTCAGTTGACATAAATATGGTTTAACTATCTTTAAGTGTGGTTTATGGTAGATATATATAACCATATATAGATAACTATAGTTCATGGGGTTTATCATAAACAAACATCACTGGGGGGGCCATCCTGTATAGGTAACCCAACACGTCACAAGGTGAGGCTCCCCAGTTTTGTTTGTTGGTTTATAACCCCCATGATCTAGTTCGATATAATACATTAAATATATATATATATATGTATGATATATGTGTGTCATATATATATATATATATACATATGTGTCATATATATATATATATGCATGTACTGTTGCATTTGATTATTCATCTATTTAAATGTTTAAAGAAACATATATTTATATATATACCATAAACCCAAGTTATTGGAGTTATAAACCAACTCAGCTATCTTGGCCTCACCTTGTATTGAACATAACCATTGTTTGGTCCTATGTTTTCAAAAGGGCAGGACACTGTTTCACTCTGGGACATCACCACACTTGCAGGTTTCGACAGGTGTTGCTCCCGGGGGAAAAATGTTGTCGGTTGAAAAAAACAGTCACCTAATGGTTTACCCTCTGGTAATTTAACATAGCTATGGAAAATCATCATTTTCAATGGGTAAATCCACTATAAATGGCAATTTTCAATAGCTATCTTAAATTACCAGAGGGTATCTCTACCTAAAAAAAAACGTGGTTACACTACATATTTCAATGAGCTTAGGTCACCAATTGGGCACCACCTTGTTTTTTCCCGGGTCGGGGGTCAGTCAATCCGCACGATATTCACATATAGACCCAGAAACGACCTCTGGCAAACAAGTATCCAAAAGTAAAAGGCTTTGGATTGGATGATTCAAGGAGGAGGATCTCCACCTATCTCCACCCCCCCCGCTCCAAAGCACCACATTCATCCAGGGAATCTTGCCGCTGTCGCTGTCGCCCCACCAAGGAAACCTCAGAAGTTCTCTTCAGCAAATCTAGAAATCTGTGGGGCAAAGGAGAGGCTATCGTTCTTGTAGGTCCAGCCCCTTCTTGTGGTATTGCTTCCCTTAAATAAAAAACCTCTTGTCCACCCTTCCTAAAGCAATATAGCTGCTGTATCTTGCTCACCCCAATCATCTTAAATCTTCAAAATGTCAATTTCCCCAAAATAATTAAATTCCGGCCGTATTAAACCCTTATTCAAAAAAAACACCCACATATTTGTTTCAGGGGGTACCCCATGAATAACTCAGATTCTCAAAACCTTTTTGTCCACCTTTCTTTGGGTAAAGCTGTTACTTGCGAAGTCCTTACTTGTCCTTGGGTTTCTTTCTGGCCCAACAGGACAAGCAATTGAAAGTAAATTGAGATGAATTGAAATCCTTGCTTATCCTTTGATTCATTTAAGGTTTTAAGGGAAAATCAATTGAAAGTAGATTGATTTCAAATGAAGCCCTTACTTATCAATAGATTGCTTTTAGGTTCTAAGGGAAAATGAGTTGAACGTAGATGGAAATGAATTGACATCCTTACTAATCCTTAGATTTCATTAATTGAACATAGGTTCAAATGAATTGAAATCCTTACCAATCCGTTTTTTTCTTGGATTTAAACGGAAAATCAATTGAAAGTAGATTGGCATCAATCGATTTTTTCCCGAGAGCGTCTGAGCGCAGGGTTCTTCCAATAGTGGGGGTCTGTAAAACATCTTCTCATCTTCACATCTCATCTTCACATCCTCTCATCTTCACATCCTCTCATCTTCACATCCTCTCATCTTCACATCTTCTCATCTTCACATCTGCTCATCTTCACATCTGCTCATCTTCACACCTTCCCATCTTCACATCTGCTCATCTTCACACCTTCCCATCTTCACATCCTCTCATCTTCACATCTGCTCATCTTCACATCTGCTCATCTTCACATCTGCTCATCTTCACATCTGCTCATCTTCACATCTTCTTATCTTCACACCTCTGCTCATCTTCACATCTTCTTATCTTCACATCTTCTCATCTTCACATCTGCTCATCTTCACATCTGCTCATCTTCACATCTGCTCATCTTCACATCTGCTCATCTTCACACCTTCCCATCTTCACATCTTCTCATCTTCACATCTGCTCATCTTCACATCTGCTCATCTTCACATCTGCTCATCGTCACATCTGCTCATCTTCACACCTTCCCATCTTCACATCTTCTCATCTTCACATCTGCTCATCTTCACAGCTTCCCATCTTCACATCTGCTCATCTTCACATCTGCTCATCTTCACATCTGCTCATCTTCACATCTGCTCATCTTCACATCTGCTCATCTTCACATCTTCTCATCACACCTGCTCATCTTCACATCTGCTCATCTTCACATCTGCTCATCTTCACACCTTCCCATCTTCACACCTTCTCATCTTCACATCTGCTCATCTTCACATCTGCTCATCTTCACATCTGCTCATCTTCACATCTGCTCATCTTCACACCTTCCCATCTTCACATCTTCTCATCTTCACATCTGCTCATCTTCACATCTGTTCATCTTCACATCTGCTCATCTTCACATCTTCTTATCTTCACACCTGCTCATCTTCACATCTGCTCATCTTCACATCTTCTTATCTTCACACCTGCTCACCTTCTCTCTCATGCCTTCTTTTTATCTTTCTCTCTTAAGGCCGAGGGTGGTGCCGGCGGCGAGTCACGAAACGTCAACCCTTTCGCACGAAATGAGGGTCGATCGTCAAAAACTGAGGAAAAATTGCGATTTTACTTGTGCTAAAGCAACCCTTTCGCACGAAATGAGGGTCGATCGTCAAAAACTGAGGAAAAATTGCGATTTTACTTGTGCTAAAGCAACCCTTTCGCACGAAATGAGGGTCGATCGGCAAAAACTGAGGTAAAATTGCGATTTGACTTGCCCCGGAGCAACCCTTTCGCGCGAAATGAAGGTCGATCGGCAAAAACTGAAGTAAAATTGCGATTTGACTTGTCCCGGAGCAACCCTTTCGCACGAAATGAGGGTCGATCGGCAAAAACTGAGGTAAAATTGCGATTTGACTTGTCCTGGAGCAACCCTTTCGCACGAAATGAGGGTCGATCGGCAAAAACTGAGGTAAAATTGCGATTTGACCTGTGCCGGAGCAGCCCTTTCGCACGAAATGAGGGTCGATCGGCAAAAACTGAGGTAAAATTGCGATTTTTCCTGTGCCGGAGCAACCCTTTCGCACGAAATGAGGGTCGATCGGCAAAAACTGAGGTAAAATTGCGATGTTTCGTGTGCTGGAGTAACTCTTTCGCACGCAAAGAGGTTTGTGTGTACCAGCGTTTCTGTGTAAAGATGTTGGTGTGCACAAGTGATTGTATGTAAAATTGCACCTGTTTAAACGTGTTTGTGAGTAAAAGCCTCTGTGTGTAAAAGCGTCTGTGTGTAAAAGCGTCTGTGTGTAAAAGCGTCTGTGTGTAAAAGCTTCTGTGTGTAAAAGCCCCTGTGTGTAGAAAGCGTCTGTGTGTAAAAGCGTCTGTGTGTAAAAGCGTCTGTGTGTGTAAAAGTCTCTGTGTGTAAAAGCGTCTGTGTGTAAAAGCGTCTGTGTGTAAAAGCGTCTGTGTGTAAAAGTCTCTGCGGGTAAAAGCCTCTGTGTGTAAAAGTCTCTGTGCGTAAAAGCGTCTGTGTGTACAAGCGTCTGTGTGAAAGCTTCTGTGTGTAAAAGCGTCTGTGTGTGTAAAAGTCTCTGTGTGTAAAAGCGTCTGTGTGTTAAAAGCCTCTGTGTGTAAAAGCGTCTGTGTGTCCAAGCGTCTGTGTGTAAAAGCGTCTGTGTGTAAAAGTGTCTGTGTGTAAAAGCGTCTGTGTGTAAAAGGCTCTGTGTGTAAAAGCGTCTGTGCGTAAAAGCGTCTGTGTGTAAAAGAGCCTATGTGTAAAAAGCGTTTGTGTGTAAAAGCGTCTGTGTGTAAAAGCGTCTGTGTGTAAAAGCGTCTGTGTGCAAAAGCGTCTGTGTGTAAAAGCTTCTGTGTGTAAAAGCTTCTGTGTGTAAAAGCGTCTGTGTGTAAAGGTCTCTCTGTGTAAAAGTGTTTGTGTGTAAAAGTGTTTGTGTGTAAAAGCGTCTGTGTGTAAAAGCGTCTGTGTGTAAAAGCGTCTGTGTGTAAAAGCGTGTGTGTGTGTAAAAGCTTCTGTGTGTAAAAGCCTCTGTGTGTAAAAGCCTCTGTGTGTAAAAGTCTCTGTGTGCAAAAGCGTCTGTGTGCAAAATCGTCTGTGTGTAAAAGCGTCTGTGTGTAAAAGCGTCTGTGTGTAAAAGCTTCTGTGTGTAAAAGCTTCTGTGTGTAAAAGCGTGTGTGTGTGTGTAAAAGTCTCTGTGTGTAAAAGTGTTTGTGTGTAAAAGTGTTTGTGTGCAAAATCGTCTGTGTGTAAAAGCGTCTGTGTGTAAAAGTCTCTGTGTGCAGAAGTCTCTGTGTGTAAAAGTCTCTGTGTGCAAAAGCGTCTGTCTGTAAAAAGTTCTGTTTATGAAAAACTTTACAAAAATACGATGCAAACTATTGTCTTGTACTAGTCATATATTGTCTTGATACTACTCTTCTCGTCTGCCTATAATACATCTTTAATATAGTGTCTCCATACTAACAACAGAAGACTCTGCTCCTCTACGCTCTCGGGCCATCCGTCGTCTAGTTTTTCAGTTGATCATCCTGAGTTCAGACCTGGTCGCTCCAAACATGACTCCTTAAAGAGTATGCCATAATTGTTTGGGGGCCCTTCACTAATCAGCATCCAACAGGGGGCCCCTGTCCTGTCTCGCGTGTCTGCGAGGTTTCTCCATTTTTCAGTTGCCAGCTTGCTACTTAGCAGCGCAGCCGCACACGGTGACTGTGGAGAATCTCACCTAACTAACTCCTCTCTTCAGACGCTAGATCTTTGCAAGTCTGGTTCTGGATACCCTCTGGCAAGTTGACGAACATGGCCCGTTGATAGATGATTGATATACCTATTAAACACGTTGTCAGCTATGTTGAATTACTTGTGGGTAACCATCCCATTTTTCAGGAAGACCCCAAATACCAGTACTAGTGGGTAAATTGACAAAAAATCGCACAGCAGCGATCATCAGCCCATCTGTCCAAAATCCGTTGTGGGGTGGCATCCTTTACTTTGCATCATTTACGGTGAGGCCTGTAGTTGCTTGCTTCATAATCCCGTATATATATATACATGCACACATACACATCAGAAACACATCCATTCACCTACAGTTCACGAATTGAAGTCTCAATTCGTTCCCATAGAAAAATCCAAACTGATCCCTTATGATCCCTATATGGAAACGCCAAGCTGCTGCTTGAAGTCGCGGACCTGGGATTTGCCGGCGGAGTGGTTCTGATCTCCGATCTGCACCTCGGAAGCCAAGAAGCCGTGGAGTCCATACGGATTGTTGGGAACATGTGAGGAAAAAATACAAAATGAAAAAATATATGGACTTGGATGATCCAAAAACGATGTTTAACTATGAACTATTTTATCAAATATGATGTTTTACCACCAAAATTAAATTCTTGACCAATTTGGTTGTAAGAGTCCCTACATCTGTGCACATAATCGGCCTGGAAGTGGGACCCTATTGAAGCTTGTGGCCAGGAGTTTCAAATTCAGGCTCCAAACTTCACGCAAATTTTGCGGGTAAACATGATATGTCAATGTATTCCACGCAAACTTCACGGGTATTTCACGCCAACTCATTCCAGCCGGGTTCTTGTGAAACATGCATATATATATAAATACATACATGTAGATGCTAAAGACTTCAAAAAATTAAACACCACAACAAATACCCTCTGGTCAACCAACATAGCTATTGAAAATTGCCATTTAGTTCGTTGAATTACCAATAAAAAATGGTGATGTTCCATGGTTATGTAAACGTTTACTGGAATGTAAATACACAGCAAAGCACCAGTTCTTTTACCCACAGCCGAGCTACAAAGTCGCGTTTCCGGTCCTTCTGTTTGCCGACCGCAGCCCAATGATTTTCCTGTCCATGGATTACGGCCATGGAATGCCATGGAATGCCATGATCCATCCCCACAAGAACACACCCTGAAAATCCCTGAACATATGCTGGTCAATTTGAATAATCATCATGGTTAATAATGGTTAATAATGCTTAATAATGGTTAATAATGGTGGTTATGGTGAACCATTATGGGAATTTTAACCATATCCGGTTGGTGGTTGACCTACCCCTCTGAAAAATGATGGAGTTCGTCAGTTGGGATGATGACATTCCCAACTGGATGGAAAAATAATCCAAATGTTCCAAACCACCAACCAGATATGCTTGTCAATTTGAATAATCATCCCCAGGGTGAACAATAAAATCTGTTTGAAACCACCAGAAAAGCATATGGACACCTTGGGATAAACGGACAAATCATGGTTTCAAATGGGCCCACAACAAGGCCACAAAACCAGCCAAATTCTTACAATGGTCTGGCAGAAGAAAGGACAAAATATGCGGTACTTCCAATAATGGATGGATGTGTAGCCAGATTGACATGATGTACCCTCTGGAAAACATACAAAAAACTATTGAAAATGGTGATTTATAGTGGATTTAACCATTAAAAATGGTGATTTTCCATAGCTATCTTAGTTTAACAGAGGGTATATACAAATAATTTGCTGACTCTAGCTGCTGGGCTGGGCAAATTCGGTGAGTTCTCCTAGTCTACCTAGTTTATCAAGACTAAAACAATCCTGCGGCACTCGCCCCATAGCGAGTTCACGCGACTTCATCACCTCTTGAACATGGTGTCCACGTCGCAAACTCTCAGATGACCCCTCAATGAAACATCATGAAACATGGCAAATGCAACAAATCCCAGAATACCTTATAATGTGGGTAAACAATGTCATAAACCACCCATTTGGGAATGGTAAACATACCACCTATAAAAATGCTGATGACTGGGGATGGTAAACATGGCATTGTTTTACCCCCATGATGTTTTTAATAGTTAAGTAACAGTAAGTTAAGTCATACTTTTTCAACCTCTAGGTTTTTAACCTCATAAAACCATATAAAACCAGGTTTTCCATGGGTAAATCCTAAACCCATCACCTCCAGCTGCGCGCAAGGCCACCAAGGAACTCCCGGATAGATGGGCCCGTGCTTCCGTAAGAACTTCTTGGCTTCTTCAAAGCCTGGCACGTCAAAAAAGATGGCTGCTGTGTTTTTTAATAGTGATAAGTGGTTGATGAATGGTTGATTAATATGGTTAATTAATGGTACTGAATAGTATTAATGGTAATTGATAGTATTAATGGTAAAGAATAGTATTAATGGTAATTATATAATAGTAGATTAATAGCATATAGATTAATACTGGTTGATTAATGGTAATGGTTGATTAAATGATGAATGATGAATGGTTGAATATTTGTGATTAATGATTGATGAATGGTTGATGAATGGCTCATGGTTAATTGATAGTAGTTGTTATAGTTAATGGTTAGTGGTTAATGGCGATCATTATTGATAATGGGATACTCACTGGTTGATTAATGGTTAATTAATAGTAGATCAACCTATGGTTGATGAATGTTGATGAATAATGATGAATCTCAATGATTATCAATGATTATCATAGTTGACATAATAGTTGATGTCATCATTGGTGATAATAAACAATCATGGGATACTTAATGGTATAAAGTATGCTATATTTTCCGGCCGCGTTGGATTATACCGGATGGGAACGAGGGTCGATCATGAGGAGCACAACAAATGAACAAGCATGGGATACATCCAAGCAATTTGATATGCTTCATCTGAGATATCCTGCAAAAATACATTTTAAACAAATGAAGAAATATATATATATATATTATATATATTATATATATATTATACAAAAACAACATCTTTAGCAAACTTTAGCTGGGTAGTCTATATTTCCCGTTGTATGGGGCAGAAAAAAAACATATATAAACCTAGGGTAAAGCCTGCCTTTGTCGCTGAAAAGTGAGGGTTGGAATCAACACAAATGTGAGATGGGTTGTCCAAGTCCTTTCCAAGTACTGAGGTTTGGAATTTCACATCAAACATCATCGAATCAAGTGAACATAGATTTATCAATTTAAATCAATTCAAAGTTGTTTTTTTAATATTACAACAACCGAGTATCCTCCCCTTTCTGTTAAATAGATTCCTTCACCAAGATAGATGTCAAGTGGGGACATCTTCCCACACCAGTTCCATGCCAAATCCAGTGGAAAAGCCGCAGAGCTGCGCAATTCTTGATGATTTTCCCCTGATGGTAACCATGTCATGTATGTGGCGTTGCTATTTGGTCGCATATCAACGATTGCTGTTGACTCCCAACTCTTGGTCACTCAAATCCCTGTGTTTCATACCCTCTGGTAAACTAACATAACTATGGAAAATCACCATTTTTAATGGGTAAATCCACTATAAATGGCCATTTTCAATAGCAAACTGTTAAATTACCAGAGGGTAGTTCCCCCTTCATTCACCACAACGATCTATGGATTCTCAGAGATCCAAGGGGCTTAGGAGCCGGCCACCCTTGGACGTAGCATGTTGCTCCGCTTTGCTCCAGGGTAAACTTTCCTGTGGCGACGTTATAACGACCGCCAAACCTTTCCGGATTGGTGAAGATTAAACCTCTAGGCTAGGTCCAAAGTAATTTATACAAACTGGCTGGTAAATGAAAATAAGAAGGCGTGTGTTTCTTTTCCTCTCTCTCTCTTTCTCTCTCTCTCTCTCTCTCTCCTGTTTTCAAACCGCAAGATGTAAAAACAAAATGCAGCAAGTGTTCAATCTTTGGGGCATCCTGAATGAAACCAACACGACTGGCCAAAAAATTCTCAGAACCATCTGGGCCGTGGTTGGGAATCATGAAACCTGTTGGGAATCATGAAACCTGTTCAACCAGAATCCAGAAATTCACTTGCAAGTTACCTTTTTTTCGGCAGACACGGATGGAAAGAAAAAAGGGTCCGCGTTCTCAATATACCCTCTGGTAAACAAACATGACTCTGGAAAATCACCATTTTTCATGGGTAAATCAACTAGAAATGTTCATTTTCAATAGCTATGTTTGTTAGTTTACCAGAGGGTAGTTTCTACCCCCAATGCGCATTTCTTCGCGTTCAAAACCTCAAAACGTTCCCGTAGATGATGATCTTTCCGTGGAACATTGGCATTTCCCGTTGTCGAGCTACTGGGTCCAGTTACTAGGTGAGAATCACAGCTTCCATCCATGTTTACATTTGCTTAGACCCTTCAAGTACCAGCAAGAATGATTTATATAAAATCGTCTAAACGTCACAAAACAATTTGTATATTCACCATTGTTTCAAGGTAATGTCAACCCTGGATTAATAAACCCCTAGGCTGTTTAATTGGGAGGGTACCATTTATGTACCATATTGTGACTATTTGGAGGGTACCCCCTATAATTAATAAACCATGGTTTATTAATCCGGGGTTGACATTATATACTTAGAGGGCCTAGGTCTACGTATACGTAGCATTTCAATCATTATATATAATACAGCATATATATATATATATTCATATAATATCCATCTATCTATCTATCCATCTATCTATCTATCTAACTATCCATCCATCCATCCAGGTTTACCATGTTCAAAAAGTAGTCATCATCCATACGGTCCATGGCTTGCAGCAAACCCCCATGATATCGCCATGTGGGGATGAGTTAAAACCATTCAAAAAACCGTCGGAAAAGTGTACCGCATTTGGGGAAAGAACCATCCATTCACATCCATTCACCAGCTATTTTAGGGTACCAGGCTTTTGACCCACCATTTTTGGAAACCTCCATATGTTCCACATGTTAGTAGCTGGTAACATCTGGTAACCAGGTACCAGGCCTCCAATCGATCCCACTTCACCTCCTTCCAAAGCACCACGCAATGCCTGCAGGGCCCAGGGTGAGCTTGAAGCGGGTGGTGAGCTTCGGAATACTAAGAATATGTTTGTACACATAGTTCATATTTATTCGAAGGGTAGTCTTATTGAAATGGTCGATTACCCCCGAAACCATGGGTTTCAATACTAAAATGCTCTAACAGTCCAAATTTGAATGATTCGGGGTACCCCCACTTCAGGAAGCCCGCATATTTACGATATCCAACGTATACAGTATGAAAAAGCTGAGAAGTCGCACACGTTCATATTTAGCTATAGCAACTTACAATTTCAAATGCCTGCATATCATGAAAGAAACCGTAAAGAAAAACACAAATTCAAAGGTCGAAACAAAAATCAGGGTGTGATCTGGAGCTTGCCCCAGGAAATCCTCGGATCGATCATGGATCGGCTTGAAGGTCATCCCATGTCTGGTTGGTGGTTGGTTGCTGCTAACCCCTCTAAAAAACACTGATCATATTGGTTAATATACTGTTAATATAGACTATCATGGTTAATATATGGGTTATTATATGCTTAATGATGGTTAAAATCTGGTTCTTGGTTGCTGCTAACCCCTCTGAAAAATGATGGACTTCGTCAATGGGTTTCGGATGACATCCCATATGAAATGGACCGTCATAAAATTCATGTTCCAAAGCACCAACTAGATTTTGTTGGGTACAATCATCAAAATGACCATGAAAACCCTCTGGTAAACAGCCACATAACTATGGAAAGATCCACCATCTCAAAAATGGGACAATTCACTATTTCTATGACCATTTTCAATAGCTTTTTGTATGTTTACCAGAGGGTATTAAAAACCATGACCATCTGGATTCTCTTGTGTGATCAAATCTCTGGCAATTCTCTGTGTTTTTTTCTCCTCCAGTCAGCAGTAGCTCAGTAGCTCTGTGAGCTAAGCCCTGGCCTCTGTTTACTTTCATCTTCTTCCACCTGAGTCTCCTTCACCTTCATATGCACCTGCCGAGGTAAGCGCGCCTATTGCTCTAGCTGATTGGGAGGGATCTGCTCCCATGCACACGGGAATATTTAATCCCTATTGGATCCCTTCGTGGCGAATTAACATGACTTCACGCCATGCGGATGCACCGCTTCCTACAGGATCCAAATGGTAAATTCTCCCAAATCGATCCATATTTTGAAACTTGGTCCCTCCCTATCCCCACGATATTCCCATGATATTCCAATTTCTCCATGATCTTTACCCTCTGGGTTTGACTAACAGTTTGCCATGGAAAGATCCACCATGCTATTAAGTTCGGTAAACCATCTATTTCGAACTGGGCCATCAACAAACCATGGCAAACTGTGAACGTCATAACCAGGCCGGCTACATCTTTGTTGGCCAAATGTGGGGTGGAATCCCCATGGTGAACCGCCTTCTTTTCCGCTTTGTCCGCCTTGCTGTCTGCATCCTGATCAAGGATAAGGGCCACCGACGGAACTTTCATGGGCTTCTCATGGGATGAAAAAAGTCACAAAAAACAGGCCCAAATAGCTGAGTTGGTGAACATAACTCCAATTTCACTTGGGTTTATGCTAGATATATCAAACATGATCAAACTATAGTTAACTCTAAACCAACAAACATCACTGGGGGCCAAAAACCGTGTATCAACTAGAGATATGATCGTAAATCCCAGTGGTTGATGGTGAAACAACATAAAATAAGCATGTTCCCTAGGTACCATCTGGTTATGACTAACAGTTCGCCATGGAAAATCACCATTGTTAATAGGTAAACCATCTATTTCTATGGGCCATTTCCCAATAAATGGGCTTTCTATACCATGGCTATGTTAAATAACAAGAGGGTAAATCCTTATTCTCCTGGCATTTTGACCGTTTTCGCTCCAAGAACTCTCGGCCTTGCTTTCAGTTGTGACAGGCCTCAGTGACAAGTCTGATCCCGCCCTACTTTTGGGTCACATCTTTTGTCGATCCAATCGGCCACTTGGGTCACACAAAAGAACACCCAACAAATGGCCTTTGAGTGGAGTATCTGATCTGATTGGTGGTTGACCTACCCCTCTGAAAAATATGAAATTCAGTTGGGATGATTATTCCCAGTATATGGAAAAATAAAATTCATGTTCCAAACCACCAGTGATGATATGTTCTAAGGGTCCCAGTGTTTTATGTACAGCCGTTTTCGTGAAAGTCTTTCGCCAGAAATTCAGACCCAAAACAAATGAAAATCCATTCGCTAGTGTCCAGGGAAATCCAATTTTGGCGAATAAACCGTCAACCTCAAAAAATAATAGCTACCCCTCTGGTAAACTAACATAGCTATGGAAAATCACCATATTTTATGGGTAAATCAACGAACTAAATGGACATTTTCAATAGTTATGTTAGTTTACCAAAGGCTAAATTGCATCAGATGTATCTGATCACCATGTTTTGTTAGAGAAGCCTACGCTTCATCACTTGGTCTCCCCATATGGTGAAAAAACAATGATATGTTGCTCTGTTTCACCGGTTGAGACCAATGAAACCCATGAATTGTGCTCCTTATATAGATAGATTCACTAATTCAATTCAAATAAATTAATAATAAATATATATAAATATTATATACACCCTCTGGTTATGACTAACATAGCCATGGAAAATCACCATTCTTAATAGGTAAACCATCTATTTCTATGGGCCATCTATACCATGGCTATGTTAAATAACCAGAGGGTATATTATATATATATGATACATCTAACCCCCCCATCTTTTTTAGATGATGTTTCACCCCCTAGTCGCCGAGCCGCACGGCGACATCTTCGGCCTCGTCACGTAGCGACCTGGTGCATGCTTTTTTTTATGAAAAATCTGATGAAAATCTAAAAATAAAATGGGTTTGTCTGAAAATAGTGTACCCCTACACCCAATGGTTAATGATCATTATCCCTACTAAATGGCTATAATTGGGGGTATACCCCATTTTCAGACATACCCAAATGGATGAACCTTGATTTTCATTAGATAATCGCAATTATCTAATGATTATAATGATTATAATGGAAACACAATGGATATCTAATGGAAACACAATCCGATGAACAAATCAATAGATTAAACATCCATTGTGTTTCCATTCGATCTCGATTATTAATCACTAAACATCGCACCATGAACCATCAATCTTCACAATTCATATGGTTTATCAAGCTGGTCAAATTACAATACTTCACAAACCTAATATACAAGGATAAATAAGGCCCAAAAAATGGGAGATACTAACCATCATCTATGGTGAGGTCGGCGTGAGCTCGTTATAGTTTGCCCCGATCAATGATATCAACGGCCATTTCAGGTTCCTAACCTGGGGATTTAATGGATTAGTTTAACCATGTTTTTTTTTTTTTAAATGGGATTACATGGGGTTATAAGACAATAAATTATTCAATGGTTAGTTTCAGGACCCTAAAGTGGAGGTACCGTACCATATAAAACCATATCTTGGGGGTATATTCCCTTACATCGTCCTTACATAGACCTGAAAAGTGGTAGGTACCTCAAAATTAGTTTCCTGAAATGGCAAGTGATATAATGGGATATTGATATCATGGGAGTTCAAATGGATCTAATGGGATGCAAATGGACAAACCGGTGATTCTTTGAATAGCCTTCAGGTGCTTTGAAAAATGTGCGAACTGGAAGCTATGGACTATTTTTGGGTGATTTACCTATCAGCAATGGTAATTTTCCATAGCCGTGGCACAAACTAACAGGGGGTACGCTCAGTTGAATTTTGATGACAACCATATGAAATGAGCCAATTCGATTCAGATTAGAGGTACCACTGATTGTAGGGCCTAGGGTCCTCAGATTCCCAGTGCAGCATCCGGGACAAGAAACAATGGTGAATAACCTGTGGTTCAATCTTTTTTAGGTACTACTATCTAAAGTTCCAGCAATCATACAGCATGAAGGTCGGAGATGTAGAAGGGTATTCCATTTTACTTGGATAATTCAATCTCATTAATTTCAAAAATAGGAACCATTTTCCCACATTTCCCCATGGGTTTGGCTCATCTTCTTGAAACGGGCACCTCTTCTGCGCGTCCGGCGCTGTCCCCGCAACCGTCGCATCTGCGTCGGCCGCGACGACATCGTCGCCCTCGGGCACCCACAGCACCGCCTGGAAGTGGCCGCGGAGTTTTTGGGGGATAAACCTACCATTTGGCATGAAGGTTTCAACAATACCCTCCTGTAAACTAACATAGCTATTGAAAAACACCATTTTTAACAGGTAAACCATCTATTTCTATCGGTCATTTTCCATAGCTATGTTAGTTTACCCTCTGGTAATTTAACGTAGCTATTGAAAATGGCCGTAGAAATAGTGGATTTTCCCAGCTATAAAATGGTGGATCTTTCCATAGCTATGTTAAATTACCAGAGGGTAAATCCCATTAATATCCCATTAAATCCCATTAAATCACAATTTTCCTATGTTTTTCCTATGGTTTCCCAATGGTCCTTCTCTTAAGAACTGGCACCGGGCTCACCATTCTTGGCTCCTCAACATCGGATCGCTGCGACCAGTTTTTTTCGCGACACTTTTCGGAGGTGCAACGGGCCACCACAGCGGACGAATGCTTTGCCAAGGATCAAAAAAGCACAGCAACACACATGCCAAGGTCACTTTGCGTGCAATATTCAATGGATTGGTTTAGGGGAAAATTTACAGGAAAACACCACATTTAATGGTAAAAACCATGGTTTCCTGTAAATTTTCCCTTAAACCAATCCATTGAAATATTCGTAATTATCACTAATATGATTAAATATGATTCCCTATGGATCCAAGTACCTTCCTAGGAAGTGTTTGGGGTATGATTTAGGGGGTTAAGTACCTTCTGAGACAGTGTTTGGATCCATAGGGAGTAATTATCACTAATATGATTAAATATGATTAAATATATTAACCATTGTCCAAATAGTGAATATGTGTAATAGTTAACAAAATAACTATCCAGGGCAATTATTTAATATTTGTGAATCCGAATGGAAGGATATATCTAGATAATTAATATCCTGATTTTGGAGATGATATAGTTGATATTAGTTGATGATATAATTGTATTTGTTGAACTACTATCAATTTATATCAATTTCATAGTTTTTGGGTCATGTTCTTGATAATTAATATTACTACCCAATAGTTAAGAATAGTTCTAATCCCAATAAATAGTAGTTTATAATAGTTAATAATCATCCAATATCCAATAGTTAAAATCAGTAACAGTGCAATCGTTAATAAAGGATTAACGTGTGAACCGCGTGAATGAAGTAAACACAATATTACAAAAGCGTCCCCAAATTCACCATTCTTATGATTCAAAATAATCGGGTAGTCTATGATGATGTTGGAATGAACATGAATATTATGGGTCAATATGTTAATATATGTATGATTTATAATATCATTATCCACTATTAACTGGATCTTCTCCAATACCCAACTATGATGTTGGACTGAATACAAATGATATTGGTCAATACGAAAATATGCTAATAATCAATATCATTAACCAATACTAACTGGATCTTAAGAATCTTATGAAATATTTAATAACTGCGGGAAACACGGTGCCATAAACCTACCATTTGGGGATGTAAATCCCACCCAAATCATATGGCTTCTGAGGGGTGTTAATTCTGATGGTGGACTGGGTAAAACATGTATCTTCGATATGTTAAAAAATGGTAAGCTACTAATCTTAATCATCTAACAATCCCATCCTCCCAATATTAACCACCAGAAAAAGTCTCGAAAAGGTGTAAATTCCTTCTAAAGTATATGGGCTCTGAAGTCTGAAGGGTCTTAATTACGATGTTGGACTGGATAGGAAGATTGGTATGTTAATAATAGTAGGCTCATAAGCTAATAATCAATATCATTACCCAATTTTAACTGGAATAATAGTGGATTGATATGTTAAAATACATAGCACCACCACCATATGTGAACATGTTCTTATGTTACTTTGTTTATATCATATCCAATATGTTGACTATACTTGGGGGTGTAGTTGAGGTTCGCAGTAGTGGGTTAACATGTTAATAGTGCTTAATTTAATGGCTGTCATTGGCTATGAACCGGTCGGAATTGATTTTATGTGTTGCGTCCCTGAGACCGATTGAAAATATGTTCCGCTTCATATCTTACAAGGTGGTGCCCCCAAGATAGCTAAGTTGGTGAACATAACTCCAATAACTAGGGTTGATTAGGGGGTTATATCTATAATATAGTTAATGGGGATTATAAACCAACTTATAACTGAGGGGCACCACCTTGTAGATCTGGGTATAGCATGGCACATGTTATAAAGCCACGGAAACCATCATGTTTGATGATGAACCCCATTTACTAATGACGACAGTTTTTTGGCTGCTTTAAAGACATATCGACTCGTAGTAGCGTCAAACATGCGCAAACAAATAGAACAATCATCTGTGTCACTATCTGTTGGGGGTTGCTTCCCTCAGGTAATCAAACATGGCAATAGAAAAGCCCCTACTTACTTCTTATACATGATCTTCCCAATAATTCAATAACACCTCCATTTATAGGTGATGTTCGATGATTGTTCATTGTTACTTTTGATTACCGGAGGGCAAATCCTTTAATATCCCAATGCTATTATATGATTATTACTTCAGTATTATCCTTATCAAACGGTTGAACCATATAAAACCGTTGTATATATGTAATGTTAGTAAAGCGGTAGTAACCACCCATACTTTGATGGTTTATACTCATTAAACGTTCGGAAAATTTACCATCTGGTTATTTAACATAGCCATGGAAAGATCCACCATTTTTAAGAACGGTGAACCATCTATTTCTATGGGCCATAAATTTTCCATGGCTATGTAAACGTCACAGGGTATCAACTAAAAAATGCTCTAAATCCCAATGTCTGGTGGTTAAATCCTGTAAAGATGCTCTAAATCCCAATGTCTTGTGGTTAAATCCTATAGAAATGCTCTAAATCCCAATGTCTGGTGGCTAAATCCTATAAAAATGCTCTAAATCCCAATGTCTGGTGGTTAAATCCTATAAAAATGCTCTAAATCCCAATGTCTGGTGGTTAAATCCTATAAACATGCTCTAAATCCCAATGTCTGGTGGCTAAATCCTATAAAAATGCTCTAAATCCCAATGTCTGGTGGTTAAATCAATTGCTTTACTCACTAAACGTTGTGAAGCTGGTCCCTCCGCCTGTGCCATCACCTCCTCCAACGCCCCTGCGTCAAGCTGCAGCTGCGAGGTGCCTGCAGATGATGAACCATCCACGAACAAATGGAAGTTAAATATCAATCCACGAAAATAATCTCTCTGTCTCTATCTATATTTATTGATTTATTGATACAATATACATATATATATATATATGTGTGTGTATGTTTACATGTATAATTGTACATATATGCATAATTATACATATATGCATAATTTGTCGATTTTCCAGCCAGCCATGTTTGATTACTAGAGGATAAAAACAGGATGAACGGACAATTTTAGCAGCTACTTTGGGTATTTCAAACCAATAAGTTTCCAGGTGCAGAGGGGCTGAACATTCATTGGGCAGCTAAGTTGGGGGTTACGTGGGGTCTTGAACCAAACCAAACCTGTACAACATATACTAAACTCAATCACTGGATTGATTAAAGACAAGTTTTGTTCAAGGACCAAGAAGAATTGAGATTTTTTTAGTCCTGAGAATGGGCTAATTCTGTGGGAAATGTCCGTGGAGACAAAAGTCTTGAAAATGAGTTTATCCTCTGGTTATTTAATGTAGCTATCGAATAATCACCATGTTTTAAACATGTAATTCATCATAATCCATCTAAAAATGGTCCATTTTCCATAGCTATGTCAAATCTTCAAATGGCCATTTTGGTGAGGAACATGATTATTATGCAGTTAACTTATATATGTTCATTGAATAAACCATCAGAAACCAAAGCCATTTCGCAGCCACCCAGCTGTGGCTGGAAGCTGGGCCCCTAGGCCCTGGGGGCCCTAGGCCTTGCTCGTGAGACTTATCTCCCAGCTGCACCCAATCTGCTTCGCCATTTTCACCTGGTGGGGGCGGTTGATGAGGATTTTTTGGGGCGGATATGATGGGATACCATATGATACCATCGATAAAAGAATGATGGTTTCAATCATTTTCACTCTAAACACATAGGGATATAACTTAGAATGATATAATCTAATGCTTCGAATGATGGTTGATATAGTTGGTTGATGATTATGCCGGTATTGGGGATGATCATAGTCCGTGAGCTGGGGACCACAATGAACACCTGAGACCCAAACCCACAACTGGACTTCCCCTGAAGGGTGGCTTAGATATACAGACTTTGAAAGGGGGTGGTGCCTGGTAGTAGAAACTTCATTTCTGTGCTGAGGCACTAGGAACTGCACATCTAAACTCATTTACCTCAAATCTAGTTTATTCCAATTGAGTTTGCATTTTACGTATCCATATATAGGGCTCCCAAAGGAGATTTAACAAAGATGTTATAGATGATGACGTCTCCATCTTTTGCAGACTTCATAAACTGTTCCGAATCTATTTGGGGTTGATAAATCAGGATTAGCCTCTGGTAAAGTAACATAGTTATTGAAAATGACCATTTATAGTGATTTACCCATTAAACATATATTAAGTGTTTTTTTCCAGTTCGCAAACTGTGAATGTTTACCAGGCCGGGTAAATACCTTAAATACCTCTTTATCAAGCCTAAAAAATCCTTCAAACGTTCCCCCATCTGACTCCAACCATGGGGCCATGGCATCATGGGCCCCCGATGGGATGGTCAGCTGGGATGGTCTGCTTCCAGGATCCCATGGGGATCCCATGGCAGCCAAGTAACAAAGGACCGCGGCCCATTGATCTTCCTTTGGAAAGATTGGGCCACGTGTCCTTGGCAACTTGGATAGCGATGAAGGAACCTTTCATATTGGTTACCCTCTGGTTAGCCTCTGATAACCAAGGTGGAGCTATGGACAATCACCATGGTTACCCTCTGGTAAATTAACATAGACCCTGGCAGATAGGGGTTGGAAGACTAGTTTCCATTAAAAAATGGTGATTTTCAGGGTCTATGTTAATTTACTAGGGGGTAATAGGTAGACATCTTCTTATAGATGTAAATGGCTCATTTTCCATAGCTATGTCAAAAATTGCCGGAGGGTATACAATGAGCCTTCGCAAGCTGTCGCATCGGGTCTGGCTGAGACTCTTCAGCTACCAGGTCACCTTTGCAACATACGATGAATTGGGGGTGTCTCTGGAAATGGCACCCGAAGGAAGGCCATCAAATACCCTCTGGTAAACTAACATAGCTATTGAAAATGGCCATTTATAGTGATTTACCCATTAAAAATTTAGATTTTCTATAGCTATGTTAGTTTACCAGAGGGTAATATAGATTGGCTAAAAACAATCTGCTTCATCTTCTCGTTCCAGAGCCATTCGATAGGTTTCTTAGTTTTACTGACCCGTGTTTTTGTGTCCCGTCGACAACGTTGACCCTCTTGGTTGAGTCAATTAAAGTGGGTCCATGTTGATGGCACTGTCTGACTTTGTCATGGTAAATCCAATTGATCAGCCCGCTGGTGCTACGGTTGGCATGCCGCATATCAAGTCACATCATATCATGTCAGGCGCAAGAAACAATAGTTGTTACATGTTTTTACTATTGGTTTCCGGTTTCGATTCTCCCTTCAACCTATTCCAAAAACAGAGTTTGGTATATTGAATCCACAGCCACTATCCCACGATCTTCATATGTCGCACTGCATTCCTTCCTGATGTCTTCCAAGCATCTTGACGAAGGATTGGGCTTCTCGCAGGGTCATCAATCCTGATGCCATGCACATGACGATAAAATTCATCCCAGTTTTCCGTATGTTAAATAAGTTACAAAAATGTATGATGGCACTTTGCAAACTGGTTGTTTAATCTGGTTGGTGGTTTCAACGCATCTGAAAAATATGAAAGTCAATGGGAAGGATTATCTCCAATATATTATGGAAAATAAAAGCCATGTTTGAAACCACCAACCGGTAATGTTGTGGCTATCAAGTTTTGAAGAACGTTGGATATCCCATGCCCACCAAATGCAACTGGAAATGCAACAACTTCACGTGGACACCTGGCAGTCTGCCACTACAAGGCGAGCAGGCAGTAACAAAAAAACATCGGAACTCATAAGGCATCTCAGAAAGTCGTATGCTGAAGCAACTATGGCAATTCATTACACAAACATATATATATATGTATATATATGGTCTTCATATAGTTGGATAGAGACGATATACATCAATATAAACAATCACACATATACATCTGTCATCTATCCATACATACCTTGCCCCTCAAAGTGCCGTTGATCACCTTTGTCGACCATCAACCTGGCGCCAGAAAACGGCAAGGCTCTGCCACCCATCTTCTTGGCAAAGTCTTCCTTAGCCAACATGACCGGTAGTAGAGAGGTCTCCTACAAGTCTTGTTTTAAACAAATGCAACTCAACACCTTTAAATGTTTTTATTAGTGGAAAAATCAATTCCCAAGAAAATTGTTTGCTTTTCTGTTTTTTTTGGGTGTTGTTCCTGCATGCTGTTCCTTTGAAGCTATTCCAGGACAGTTTCGAGCACTTTTAAGTGATACAAATCATGTATTAACTTGGTGAATGCTTCCAGCATCCGTTGAGGCCAGTCAGTTTGGTACTACCTTGCCAATTCCGACTTATGCATAACACACACAGACACATGTATATATATATATATATATATCATGCATAACATACCTTGTATACATATATGTATACATATGTATATATATATATATACATATTTATATCCGTGTCCCATCTGTGGGAAATCTTAATTTTGCTGATCAATCATACTTATGACCAAAACCACGTCTAGAATCATGTAATTTAGTCAACAAGGAAGAAGCCGAACATCAGTTGTGAACATGATAAAATTACCAAACATCCTCATAAAAAAAACAATGGTTTTCAGTAAATGATCCCTTGAATCAATTCAATGGGAACACGTTTTGGATACCCTCTGGTAATTTAACATAGCTAACTGGAAAATCACCATTATTAATGGGAAAATCCACTATTTCTATGGCCATTTTCAATAGCTTTTTGTTAGTTTACCAGAGGATATGATTTTCCGTAAAGATGTCCTTTGATCAAAGGAAAAACACAACCGTCACCAGCCATCGACCAAGATCAACCGGCTGGTGATTCTCCAAAGGGAAGAACTCGAAATGGGCAGGAAACATATTTTTAGCATTTAAGGCATATGTGGTTATACCATGGTTATACCGTTATAAACGCCATTTCTATGGTTTGAGTATTGGAATATGTTGGAATTTCCTGAGCCTTACAGTGCTGGAGGAATGCCCATCTCCAGCAATATCCAGCAATCCTGCTGGTATCAGTTGGATCATGCCATCTTTGTGGGTTTGATGTTTGACCTGTACTGATATCGTCCAACATGCCAACTCTTCGGGTATTGTTAAATGTATTTAAATGTCCCATATCACCCAAAAAGTGTGGAGACAATATTATTTATAAATCAAGCATTGATATGGCAAACCCGTTGAAGACAGGTTTTCCATATGGATTTGTTAGTTTACTGGAGGGCATCGAATGTAAGTCTCAGGATACACCTGACCGGACTTTCACCCAGTGCCGACATGTCTCAGAGGCCTTCCACGTCAACGAAAACGAATTCCTGTAGATGTTCAGGCTGCGGCTTGGCGCTAGAGACCCACATAGTCCCAAGGCTTTTCGCTAGATAGGGGTTTCCATAAATGGGGGTACCCAAAATGGATGGTTTATAATGGAAAAATCTTATTAAAATAGATGATTTGGAGGTACCCCTATTTCAGGAAACCTCCAGATCATCATCTAGATCATCATCTACAGTTATGGCCCTGTACCAGGTGTAAGTACTAACAAAACCCCGTTTATAGAATGTAGAATCCCATTGAAATAACCAGTTAAAACTAAAAATGACCATAACTGTAGAAGTGGATGACAAAAGAAAATGTTCAAGTTGCTAGGTTAAGCCCGAGTTCTGTCACATGTTTGATCCAAACTCGATTGGGTGCACTGTGAATGGACGAATTTTACGCACCGATAGTAAAAATTGGATGTATTCTATGGGTTAGATCAAAATTTGATCAATGCATATGGGTTGTCTGAAGATAAGGTACCACACTGAATTTAACTGAATTTGATGGTTTACCATCCTTTTCCCTATTGTTTGATGGTCATTTGGTGATATCCACCATTACCAAAAACACCCAAATCCCTGTACAAACAATGGTTTTTCCCCTAATCCCAACAAAATCCGTATTAATTATGTAAATATAGTCTATAGTTATACCCAACTATGTCCCATGATATTCCCATGATATCTCAACTATCTCCTTTTTTTGGTGGTTGGTTAATACTATAGTCCAGCAAAATTTTGATAATTACTTTACTGAGATTAAAATAGCTGAAATAAGGCCATGTGGATATGATTCCCCAAAGCCTAACTATCATTCCAGTGACGTCACAATGAGCTCCAACACACACACACAGTTATATGTATATTAAAATAATATATCTATATATATATATACATAAATAGGTATATTTTTGTCTAAAAAGGGTACGCCAATCTTGATGGTTTATCAGCATTTTCCCTACTAAACATTGCCACAACTGATGGGTATACCTCATTTTCAGACACACCCAATTGGACAGAATTGATTACATCACCAGTGTATCTTACATTAAAGTCCATAATATAACCATTTATAAAAAAAATATTAGCAAGCTAAAATTTCAGGATGATATCACCATTTCTCTCATAATGATTTTCCCCTATGTTCATCATGTTCCCCAACTAAATACAGTCGATGTCCATCTCCAATTTCCAATAATGTGGATATAATGTGGATAAAACAATTTCATGCCTAGTCATCAGCATTTTGATAGGTGGTATGGATAAACTATTCCCAAATGATGGGTGGTTTCTGGTGTTTTACCCATGTTTTTCCCACATTCCCAGTGCTGCGGCGCCTCGTCCATTGAGGCGGCCTCGATTCACGGCTGGCCGAATCATCCAGTTCCTGAGAGGCACATAGCCATAGCTGGAAAACTGAATGGATCCAATAGGAATCCAATAGGAATCCAAGATGCTCCAATACTAAGATAAAGGCTTTTTTTGGCTGGCGCTCCTGTGATCATGTCATGTCAGCAAGTTTTGAGTTTGCATTGATCTGCCGATCTTGAAGAGCTTCTTGTTGGCTTTCTTGAGGGATGTTCTTCAGGCTCGAACAAGTGATTGTTTGGCCTTCTGAGCTTCTTCATAGGTCAGGCATCGTCGAACAGCTTAAGCTTTTGATGAAAGAGTCGAGGCTGTCGCTCGTTGAGAAGACTCTTCTCAGAGGTTTTCCGGAGTCAGAAGACGCCTTGGTCAAATCCAGTTATGGCCATTTGCCAGTTGCAAGTACTTATATCCACATTTGTAGAAGGTATAATCCCATTTATAACCAGTTATAACAAATAAATGGCCATAACTGTAGACCTCGAAATCGTGTCCGCTTGGAGTTGTTTTGTGTCAAACTGACAAGCTAAGCGAGGCTTTTGGACAGGCAGCCTAATGATCCGATGCAACTGTAGCGAGATCTATGATGATCTATGGTTTGTAATGAGGAATTAAAGCCCGCTTATAGCCAATTCGCAAGCACACTGAGAAGGGATCGTTCAACAAACTCATCATTTTTTGAGAGCGTAGACACGGCGGGATTTCTGACCCCCGTCTGCCTGGGATGATCCCAGTCTGCCTGGGATGAACTCCCTTTGTGAAATGTTTTTGCATATGTCATTTCCTTTATTTTGGGGAAACTTAACAGACTTAACTGTTATTTTTTCTTCATTTCTGGGATGATTTGGGATCATTTCATTGGAGATAGCCTCTGGTAATAGCGAGCTATAGAAGCCATGGCCCAGTCGAAATAGTTGGAATTCATCCATTAAAAATGGCTGGTAAATAGTTGAATCAATATAAAATCCCATTAAATCATTGTAAATCCCATGGTTTTCATTGATTTTCCATAGTTATGTGGCTGTTTACCAGAGGGTAGCACCAGCAGAAACAAATGATGATGAACTCGAAAAACCACAAGGCCTTTGTCGACCAACATGTGCCCAAAGAATCTAAGACTGGGGATGATGGTTGGACTGAACACCAACATGTTTTTTTTTTTGAAACACATGTTTTGGTTCGTAGACCCATTTGACTGTAGATATATCTACAATGAACCCTACTTAACCTACTTGGCTAAGTAGGGGGCACCACCTTGCTTTCAACTGGGTTCCATGATTATCTTCAGGGGGCAATCTCATCCGCCTAATGTCAAATACACCCAAACGAGACATAGCGCCTTAGCGTTGCATAGATATACATCCAGGGGGGAAAATAATAATAATAATAATAATATATATATGTGGGTAAATTATAATATTTCACTAATCTGAATTAAGGCCATTCGGGGATGATTTCCCTTATTAAGTTAAGCATGATTTCCAGGGCTCGGTCGCAGTGAGGTCGTTATAATTTTCCCATATATATATATAGCAGAGCTATTGCACTACAAATTCCTTTTTGTTAGTGATGACGTCCCATGTTCTTCCTTGGTTAAATCCACTGAACTGATCATTTTCAGAGGCTGCCCCCATATTAGATTTCCATATAGTTTTCTGAATTTAATAGCTACACAATTGCGACTAATTCATTGTGATGGTAATCTAAATCTAAATCAAAATTTGAGTACAATCCCTTGAACAAAAATCAAAACACATCACCACTTCAGTAGCTAAAGCATATTAAAGCGCATCATCAATCATGTATACCTGGGCCTCCGCTAAAATCCACCAGTACATCCCATCCCACTGAAACGCCGTGCCTCGTCTGGCAAGACTTTCGAAGAGGCACGACCCATGGGTCCGTCACTGGTCCGTCACTGGTCCTACTGGGTCGCAGCAACTGGTGACAATCGATGAAAATCAGAGGTCAGGCTGGACTCCTGGTTGTCTGGAGGATTCTTGGTGTCTTTCTGTCGGTTTTTCCCGCATATCGTTGAAAGTGTGACAAGTTTCAAGTGTGACTCAAAGAAAAAAGCATCCAAGTATTTCCAATATTTTGAAAGGTCTGAGAACTATGTTTCAGATCTTGATCTTGGTGAAAATCCTGGGGCGCTTTTTAAATAGCAACCATTTCGGTCAGCTTCAGAGTCGACGGCGACGGGGACGAGCAAACGAGCAGTGATGGAGGTTTTTTTTTGGTCATTGACGCCTCCTCTGACAAGTACCTTCTGGTAATCGAAGATGGCATTTGGAAATCCCCTATTTAAAAAATATAAACAAACTGTTTTATGGGATAATCGACCTGGACATCCCCTATAAATAAATGTGTTTATAAAGGTTTTTAATGGGATACTGTAATCGGATAATCCACCTATAAATGCAGCATTTTCAGCCAGCCATCCTTGACTACGTAACTACTGGCTGTGGGACCCATGAGTGTCTGAGGATCTTGAATGATGTTGAGCTTACTAATCAATGGCTAGTGGCTGTATGGATCCATGGCATGGTTTGGAGGACCCTTGGGCGTATTGACAAGGGCTTATGAACGATCTAATATTGGGTGGTCACTTGACTCTCTATGGTTTTAAAACCTCTTGATGACATTAATTGAAAATACTAAAGCATAATTAAGGAATCTATATAGCTGTAGTGTGAAATGACCAGCCAACCCAAAATAAGCCGCACAGGAAAGCGGATAGCGCTTCCCAACTGGCATTTGTTTCTCCCAACTGAAAAACATTATTTTTGAGTGTTCCTCCAGTTTTGGAAAAACCCAAAGATGATGTTTCCAGTTGAAAAGTGGCAATTTCCATGGTCCATGTTGGACCCTGCCCCTGCCCCTGAGCATCTCGGACATGTGACCATATGTCACCATCACCATGTGCCGGCGGGTAGTGATGCGCTGAAAAATGGCTGCAGCCAAGGACACTCTTCATGTGGTCTGGCAGCGATTTGGCCAACAAGAATGGGCATGTCAATGCATATCGCATATCATCAGCACAACTATGGGATACCCTGAGATAAACTACAGCAACTAGAAGTGGAAAATCCATGAAAATCCACTGTTTGTAGATCATTTTTGTAGGGAAACCATTGGTGTTCCACATCTTTTGTAAATGTTTACCCCAGGCTGATAGCCTCAGAGCCCATCCCTAAACATGCACCACCTTTTCCGGAGATCAACCAACAACAGCTATCTGGGCATTGCTCGACGCTTCTATGGGTTGGTCTTGTTGGGAAAATCTGAACGGGAGACCATGGCCCCCGCCAAAGATATGGGTTCCCTGCAGCTTTTCCCTTGAACCATGGGAAAGAATTTCGGTCAACAGCTGACAAGTGGATTTGCACAAAGAACAACTAGTTTGCGTGAATGTGTTGGGAAAAACTGACTACCGTACTTTCATGACATGTCCTGTTCTAATATGTTCTGATTCATGTTCCATCATCCATATAAATCAGTAAAAAACATCAAGTGTACCTAAAATATGGCCAAGAAAACTAGGACTTGGACCTAGAAAAAAACATCTCATGACCTGCCACATTTTTTCTCTCGCTCTGTTCCCGGGGCGGTGCCCTTTGGGCAGCCCCCTAGTGAGACTGGGCGCGCAGCCGGAGATACCAGGAAAAGGTCGATGTTTTTGGCTAACTACCCCTTGGAAAAGGATGGAACTGGTTGAGGTTCTTGTTGTGTCGATATTTGTTGGCACATTTTTTGTTTCAACGAAAATGGATAAACATGGGCTACCGGCTAGAGTGAGAGTTTGGAATTTTCATGGTCTTCCTCTTCAGCCTGTCCTTCTTCAAAGCACCCAATTTTTTTATAGTTCTTCAATCCCCTGACACTTACCCCGGCCAGACTTGGATGATCCACAAATCAGAGTAAATGCCAACAGCCATGGTTCCCTATCACTGGCCTCCTGGGTCACTGCATATCCCATGTAAAATATATTCAATGGGTCATGCTTCCATTCTTACCATATCATCCAGTCGTATCAGTGATATGGCATTGGCAAGCATTCTCCAGAACTGTAAGTGACCATTACTAGCCAAGATCAACCATAGGATCATACAAATGTCCATAACATCGTGCTAAATGCACGAATTCATTCCAAAATATTCCACATATTTTTGGGTGAAACCATGTTAAAATATGTTAAACCTCCATTGTTCATGGTTAATTTACCCACCATAAACCCACCATAGGATCCTCCAAGTGCTGGCGCGGAACCCCGCGACACAGGCCTGGCCGACCTGGCGCAAAAACCGCCGTGCGTCACGCCGCTCTCCTGATCCGTGTGGACAGCGCTCGCGCATGCGTGCGGCGCACCTCTTCCAGGGTTCGGTGCTGCCGTATCACCTGCAGGATGTAGTGCTGAGTCTTGATGTGTGGACCGTTTCCTCATATTATCATATGTATCATATAATATTATATATATATGTGTGTGTATAATCTATATATATATATACATCATATATATATGTACGATGGACCTTTATGTACTATTTGAACGTTTGCATGTCGAAAGGATTTTATTGAAATTATACCTCTTTCTGGAGAATCCCTACTAGTTAATCTATATACCAAAAAGAAAGAAATGGAATTCAAAAAATTCAAAAAAAAATGAATACATATTTGTTTTGATTTTTTTGAATTTTTTGAATTCCATTTCTTTCTTTTTGGGACTTTCATTTTTTTTTTGAATTTTTTGAATTTTTTGAATTCAAAAAATTCAAAAAAATCAAAAAAAAAGTGAATACATATTTTTTTTGAATTTTTTGAATTTTTTGAATTCAAAAAATTCAAAAAATTCAAAAAAAAAGTGAATACATAATTTTTTTTGAATTTTTTGAATTCAAAATTCAAAAAAAGAAAAAAATCAAAAAAAAATGAATACATATTTTTTTTGTGAATTTTTTTGAATTTTTTTGAATTCCATTTCTTTCTTTTGGGACTTTCATTCATTTTTTTTGGGTGATTTTTTTGAAAAAAAAAAAAGAAGAAAATTTTTTGATTCAAAAAAATCAAAAAATCTCAAAAAAGTGAATACATATTTTTTGTTTGAATTTTTTGAATTTTTTGAATTCAAAAAATTCAAAAAATTCAAAAAAAAATGAAAGTCCCAAAAAGAAAGAAATGGAATTCAAAAAAATCAAAAAAAAATGAATACATATTTTTTTTTGAATTTTTTGAATTTTTTGAATTCCATTTCTTTCTTTTTGGGACTTTCATTTTTTTTTGAATTTTTTGAATTTTTTGAATTCAAAAAATTCAAAAAATTCAAAAAAAAAGTGAATACATATTTTTTTTTGATAGAGAAATAAGGAGACAAGTTGGGAACAGACAAGGAGACAAGTATGGAAACCAATGGGAGGCAAGAAGAATCCTTCGCCATCGAGCAACCACGAAGAGTCACGAAAAGTATCCTGTGCCCAGAAGCACCCAGGAAGAAGAACAGTAACAGGGAGGGACAAAAAGAAATGAAGAGAGGAGACTGCAATTATGGCCCCAAAGCACCTGAAGGTCCTAAAGCCTAGACCACACAGCAAGTAGGAAAAAACTGGCTGAATAAGGACACAGATGGGAACACATGGGGGACAAGGGGAATCTTGGGTCCCAAAAGCGAGAACAACAGGAATGAGGAGAGAAGTGAAGAAAGCGCTGGGAAAGACTACAGGGACAAGGAAGGAAAGAAAGGAAAGAGGAGAAAAACTATCCTCTCCCTCCCAAATGCCGGAGACCTGGAAAGAAGCGCGGTAGTGGAGAGAGAATAAGGAGACAAGTTGGAGACAAGTAGGAAGGTAAGTAGGGTAACATGTGGTAGAGACCGAGGGTAAGGGAATGTGACCTGAACAAAGGAAGAAAAGTTAAGGAGAAACACAAGAGGCCAGGAAATCCGTTCTTTCCCAAGCAGCAGCAGCAATGAGGAGGGAATTAAGGATACATGTTGGAGGGAACAAACGAGGACAAGGGAGGACAAGTGAGGAACCGGAGAGAATCATGTGTCCAAAGAAGCACCTAGAGAGAAGAACAAGAGAGAGAGAGAGGGGGAGCAGTAAGGGCACGAGTTGGAGAGAACAAGGGGGACAAGCACGGAGACAGACAGAGGACAAGGAGCATACTGTGCCCCGGAAGCACCCAGAGAGAACAGCCACATGGGAGAGTGAAGTAGAGAGACGAGTACGAAAACAGATGGGACTTGAGTCCTGTCCCCAAAGCCACCAGAACGAAGAACACTGAGCAATGGAGAGAGAAGTGAGGAACGGGAGACAAGGAGATTCCTTTGACCGAAAGCTCCCAGAGAGAAGAATCGCAATGGAGATAGAGAAGTAAGGAGACAAGTTGGGAACAGACAAGGAGACAAGTATGGAAACAAATGGGAGGCAAGAAGAATCCTTTGCCATCGAGCACCACGAAAAGTATTCTGTGCCCAGAAGCACCCAGGAAGAAGAACAGTAACAGGGAGGGACAAAAAGAAATGAAGAGGTCCTAAAGCCTAGACAAAACAGCAAGTAGGAAAAAATTGGCTGAATAAGGACACAAATGGGAACACATTGGAGACAAGGGGAATCTTGGGTCCCAAAAGCGAGAACAACAGGAATGAGGAGAGAAGTGAAGAAACCGCTGGGAAAGACCACAGGGACAAGGAAGGAAAGAAAGGAAAGAGGAGAAAAACTATCCTCTCCCTCCCAAATGCCGGAGACCTGGAAAGAAGCACGGTAGTGGAGAGAGAATACGGAGACAAGTTGGAGACACGTAGGAAGGTAAGTAGGGTAACATGTGGTAGAGACCGAGGGTAAGGGAATGTGACCTGAACAAAGGAAGAAAAGTTAAGGAGAAACACAAGAGGCCAGGAAATCCGTTCTTTCCCAAGCAGCAGCAGCAATGAGGA